GTCACGAGCAAGCCCCCGCCGATCTTGTTCCACGTCCACGCGCGGTCCTGCATCTTCTTGAACACCTCATCCCAGAGGCGGGCCCCACGGGTGGGGCCCAGCCAATAGCCAAGGTACTTCGCGTGGCTCGAGATGGTGAAGGCGCCCCACCGGGTCGCCGCTTCGGCGACAGCAGCACGTACCCGCTCGCGCGTGTGCAGGGAGAGCGGCACAATGATGGATTTGCCACTGTGTAGACGAAGGCCAGAGACAAGCCCGTATTCGTAGAAGATCGGCTCTAGCAGTTCGCAGTCTGCGGGGCCCCGGTGGAGGACAAGGGCAATGTCGTCCGCGTACGCGCGAAGGACCACGTCTGGGCAGAGGCGGCGAATCCGTCGCAACACCACGTCCGAGATGATGGCGAACAGCAGGGGAGATAGAGGGCAGCCCTGTCGAACCCCCGCGGTAATGCCAAAGCCGGCGTCTGTAAACCCACAGAGGGAGAGCTGGCAAAAATTGTTGGTGTAAAGAATTGCCACGAACCGCCGGAACCATACGCACGCACGCACGCACGCACGCACGCACACACACAGACAGACACACACACACAGTCACACACAGACAGACACGACACACACACAGACAGACACGACACACACACAGACACACAGACACACAGACACACAGACACACAGACACACAGACACACAGACACACAGACACACAGCCACACAGACACACAGACACAGAGACACACAGACGCACAGACACACACACACACAGACACACACACACACACACACTTCTCTCTCCTCCTCCTCCTGCTCCTCCTGCTGCTCCTCCTCCTCCTCCTACTCCTCCTCCTCTTCCCCCTCCTCCTCTCTCTCCTCCTGCTCCTTCTCCTTTTCCTCCTCCTCCTCCTCCTCTTCCTTCTCCTCCTTCTTTGTTGTTCTCCTCCTCTCCACTCGTTCCTCTCGTCTGCACTGAGCCTGGAGGACATGGGGAGATGGCCGCGCTGCCGAGCTCGCGGCGGCGCCCTGCGCTGCAAAGCTCCCTGCGCAGAGGCGCCCCCACGAGCCCAGACCTCTGGCGGATCGACCTCTGCTGATACGTGGGCCCTCGGGCTCTCGACCCCGTCTCCGTCCCGAGTGCAGACGGGGATTTATCAATACCCACCGCCTGGGGACCGACGTCCTGGTGCACCAGCGGGCAGTGGATATGGATATATTTCGCCCCCCGGGGGCCCGAATACGTCCATATCACCCGCCTGCCGAGGCTCCGAAAACTGACCCTCCAGGCGGTGGTCATGTATGATCCAGGGTCGAGGGCCCACGGGCCCCCCCCCACCCCCCCCCAGATGGTATGGTCCCACCCAGATGGTATAGTCCCAGAGACGACGACGACGACGACGACGACGACGACGACGGCGACGACGGCGACGACGGCGACGACGGACGACGACGACGACGACGACGACCACGACGACGACAACGACGGCTGCGGCGGCGACGACGCCGGCGGCGGCGGCGACGACGACGATGACGACGATGACGACGGCGACGACGACGATGACGACGACGACGACGATGACGACGACGACGATGACGACGACGACGACGAGGACGACGAGGACGACGAGGACGACGAGGACGACGAGGACGACGAGACGACGACGACGACGACGACGACGACGACGACCTCTGAACCACCACAGCACCACACCACATCCACAGGGGGGGGGAGGGGGGCACCGCAGTGCAACACCACGCCACGCCCACCTCTGAACCACCACAGCACCACACCACATCCACAGGGGGGGGGGGGGAACCGCAGCGCAGCACCACGCCACGCCCACAGGGGGGGGCGGGGGGGACCATCGCGCGGGGGGGGGGGGGCCCAATGGCATCAGCATTTGGGGGGGGGGGGGGGCCCAAACCCTGGACCATGTATAAATTCCCGCCTCGGACCGAGTCCTTTTCTTACAAGGGGGTCGAGATAGTCAAGGGCGCCTAACTTCGCGCTTCGCGCTGCGCCAAGCGGGAAGGACTTCGCGCTCTCGCGCCGCCCCCCAGGGGAGAAGGGGAGGACGAGTAGGAATCGGAGCCGAACAGCGAAGCGCGAATAACTTCTCGCCCTCGAGAGCGCCCTGGGGTAGTGTACCACCCGAAGTCCCGGCAAATCTGGGCTCTGAAGAAGAAGGGGTCGAGATTAAATGCAACCCCAGTGCGAGACATGTTAGGACCCTTCCCCAGCTCCGCTGCCCAGGAAGCACTATAGATATAGAGCCCAACTTTCCCCACGCCCATGGCCCATGGGGGCCAGGAAATGGACCCCTGGAGGAGGCCGATGTCGAGAACACCGCGGCGTCACGGGGCAACATCACCACGTCGGAAGGCTGGGCCCGCCTCCCTCCAAATCGACCCCCAGACCTGTCCTGGGGTTCGCGTTGGCCGGAGCTCCGATGGGAAATCCATCCGTGGCGACGAAAAATCCCGCAGAGGCCAACAAAAATACGAAAACCGTCTGGACATCCTGAACACTGAACCCTGCCCTTTGGCTCCAAGGAGGGGGGGGTCCTGCTTGAAAGGTCGTCAACACACGACACGGGACAAAGAGCTGACCCTGGGGAAAGCCCCAAGATCTAGGCCATGTTTCCTTCAGGACACCGTTCCTTCGCGCCGAACCGCCCTCGTCCTACGCCTCTTCCACCCCCGTGCCGGGGGCCCGCCTTGCCGACCGTGTACCTCCCGATGCTCGCCGTCGGGCGGCAGGGGCCACCGTCCTGGGAGAGCTCCACCTGCTGGGGCGTGCGCGCGGGCGCTTCGCGAGGCTGGGCCGCGCGGCCTGCGCGCGGGAGCGGCGTGCCGAGCTGGGGATCCGATCGACTACACGCAAGAGCGACCCCGGGGGCAAGAGAGACCTTTGGTGGGCGGCTCCTTGGGGGCCGCGGGGGGACCAAACACAAGCGCGCAGGACGCTCCTACCGCACCGCGGTTGGCGATCGGGGGACCCCAGAGGGACCGCACCTCACTCCGGCGAAGGGCCACTCTTACGTGTAGTCGATCCGAGCGGTGCGCGCTGAGGGTCCGCTCGGATCTCCCGGGCCAGCATGGCGACCTTCTGATTTCAGCAATTCCATGCCGCCTCCGCGCGCGCAAGCGCGGGAGAGCGGGAGAGCCTCCCCTCGCCGAGGCTTCGGCGGCACTGGCATCTCGCGGCTCGGAGACAGAGTGGCGGCAAATGTTGCAGGGCATGAGGGATGCATCGCTTCACGAGGTTGGTGCCACGAGCGCAGCACGACTGTGAAGCAGACGCACATGGTGTTCTCAACGATCGCAGCGTGCGCGCGCGTATGGCACGTTGCCGACTGCCACCGCCTGCGACCCCAGTGGGCTCGCCTTCGGGCGCGTGGGCTTGACCCTGGTGCCTCTGGAGGCTGCTGGCCTCAGACCACCACGGCTGTCCCCAGGAACAATGCAGGACGACGACCTGCCCCCGCGGAAAGGGGCCGAGCAGTCCCAGGGGCGCGTCGGATTGTCTGGGAGGTCTCCGTGTGAGGGCCCCCTCTCAAGCTTCTCAAAAACCCCGCAGGCGCGGAGCCACCAAAAACACAGGGCGCTGTCTGAAACGTCGGTCGAGCTCCCCCGCGCCGGGGACGCCGTGGTCGGCGCTTGGTGCGAGAGGCGCGCCAACTTGGATCAAAGTCTAAGGCCCAGAAGAGCCGCAGACACTCGTGTTCACCACTTCCGCCCCCTTCCGAATGTTCGCGATGCCGAGAATGTATGTTATCGCGCAGCCGTGGTCTAGAGCTGAGCTCGGAGCCCTTTATGTTCGCTCGTCCTTGTTTGTGCTCGAATCCCGCCTGGACCCGCTGGATGCCCTTGGGGGGGGGCACCTTGGAATGAATGTGTGAGGCTTTGGGGCCCGCCGTAGATACTCTCGAGAATTGCAGGGGCGATCAGTCCACCATCATTCAACAACCTAAGATAATCCATGAATTTGGCTGCCTGGGAGCATTCCTGCAGCCTTCTTAGGGCCTCTCAGGGGGCTCTTCGACCCTCTCGGGGCCGCCTTGGGCTATCTTGGGGCTACCTTGGCCGTTGTGGAGGCATCTTGGGGATGTGGCAGCCGCCCCGCAACTCTCTCTCGGTGCCGTTTTGGGGCCCTCTTGGGGCTCTCTTGGTCTCTTGGTCCCGCTGGAGGCCCTCGTGGGCCCTTCTGGGCCACGATCTCGGAGGACTCTGGGCCGTCGTGGACGCTCTTCAGGAAAGGGAGATGAACAAAAAAAGACTCCACAATTGACTGCATGGAAGATTACGGGATTGCGCTCGGCTCCTGGAGACTCCTCAAAGCTTCTCGGGAGCCCTTGCGACCGTCTTGGGGCCATCAAATGGGCTATCAATCTGGTATACGTTGGAAATTACGCGGGCCGAAACTTAACACCACTGGCGCGCCCGTGCTACCCAGAAAAGAGCAGGGCTGAGATCTACACGTACTCTCGACGTGCTCAAGATCTGCCTCCATTTGGTCCAAGTCAGCAGTCCTGACAGAACCAGTGGGATCGTCGACCCATGCCACTCCCATGTCGGCAACTGCAGTCCAATCCTCGTAGCATATGGCAAACTTAATGTCCATAGCTGAGGCTTGTCTGGCGATTCCGTCTGCACCCAGCAAATTGAATGGGAATTCCCTGTGTCCCAGGTGCCGTACCAATTGATGGCCACACCGTCGATACTTACTACTTTCATCAACGTGAACTGCCACTGAACGACGTGCGAGTTGGAACTGATATACGGACCAAACAGGGGCGTGAGATGTGCGGCGACGCGACCAGCTTGTCGCAAATGAGCCTCGGACATATCCATCGTCAAGTGAGACTGCCATGGGCCATTCGATTCGAGACCGAACCAAGGCATTACTTGCATCACAATGGTGCTCCGAACGGTTATGTTCTCAATGCCCACGGGATATTGCGAGCGAGCGTACTCGTTAGACAAAGTGCTGACTGGACATTGGTTCACCTGATGATCCAAAAACAACCAACACTTTGGCACTGTCCCACTGTTGGCGACCATAACGCCTTCACAGTCGGAATCAGCATAGGAACTGCAAACTGCGTTGCACTCTTCCACAGCGCACATTCCAGTCATGCGCAGATAGATGACTAGCAACTGCCACATAACAGTTCTCATGTCTTTCCAGAGTGTAAGCAAGAGTATGCGGCGTCAGGGCACGACCGCGATGCGCGTCAAGTACACCTGCAAACACCTCCAACTTCAAGGCGGACACATCCGCAAGGAATGCGGCGGAGGCGGTCAGCGGGCTAACCATGCGCCGCATTTCGATCGGCTCGGTACGATGTCAGGCGTAAGAGTGCTTTCAACTCGACATTGGAACGGAACTCGAACTAACACGGCCGCGCGTCTATCGGGGCCTCTTCGAAGCTCTGTTGAGGCCTCTCGTGAACTTGCTGATGCGTATTGGCGCCTCTTGAGACTGGGAGAATCCACTGCGAACGAGATGTGCATGCCATATGGCGGGTCCCGTAAGCCCTGAACCCTCAGACATTGCCATCTCTTGGGCCTGCAACTTGTACTTCTGCCAACTTTGGTCGACTTTCCGCCTACTTCCGCATGCAGAGGTGGCTCCGTTTCACTTCCGCCGCCTTCCGCCGAGAAAGAAATGGCAGCCCCTTCGATCTTCGAAGATGCGGCCCTTCCTGGAGCGCACCATAGGCAGAAACGTTCGTCACCGAATCGCCTGCTTGATCCGACGTGGAGGCGCCTGGGGAGGGGGGGGGGCAGCGTGGCGACTTCGGGCGTGGGCGCGCCTGCACCGCAGCCAGGCCGCCGTCGCTGTGCAGGGGTAGCGAGAACGCGACCTGGAAGGTGGGTGCGCCCCGCGCGGGCGTGGCGAACGAAGCGGGGACGAGCTAGAGGCCGCCCAAATGGGCGACGAAAAGCAACGGCTCTTACTCGAGATGGCATGCCGACCGTACGCCGTGGCTTATAAGCGGGCCGTCAGCGCGGCACACCGCGCGGAGAAGAGGGCGCGCAGCTTGCGCGCCACTAGCGGTGAAGACGGCCCCGTTTCTCTGCGTCGCTCAAAGGGTTCGGAGTAGATGGGGTCCGAGGACCGCGCCGCATCGCCTATGCATCGGGGATGCGGCGCGATCGTCCGACCCGATGTGCTCCGGACTCCGGCTTCATTAGGGAGGCCTGGACAGGCGGAGAGGGCAAGGCGAAGCCGGGAAGCTTCGAAGACGAAGCCTCGACGGTCACCCCGACGGCCAGTGCAGCTCTACCAACAGGGCGAACGTACGAGGCTACGAAAAGAGACACAGTGGGGTAAGGGCAACCAACCATCTCTGATAGCACGTCCAGTCTCTCAGAACTTCACCGCATGAGCTGATAGCACGCCCAGTCTCTCGGAGCTTCACCTGATGAGCTCTCAAGAAGCGGTCAACACTCCAGCAGCGAAATCTGACGTGAAAGTATAGGTTCCCTCTCCCGCTTCCGACCAAATTGCGTTCCCTCCCGTTTCCCCTTCATCTCCCCTCCCAAAACTCAGAATCTCTCGGATCTGGTGTTCCTTCCTCCCGTCAAACGGAGCGGATCATTGCAAGTGCGCCCTCTGGAGACGGGGGATAGTCAACTCCTGCACTGGCATGGGAAGCCGAAAGACGTCTGGTCTGGGTGAAATGCCGACTGCCTGCTGCCGATGCGTGGGAAGGCAGATCAGAAGCGACCGCTTCCCAACGGCACTCCGCTGTGAGGGGTCTGGTGACGGGTAGAGCTTGCACGACGCGCCCCTGGAGCATGTCCGGGCGGGGGCCGACCCGGATGCCCTCTCTGCGCCCCCGCGGGGGCCCCCCACCCCGATGTGCCTCCCGCTCCCTCTCTCTCTCTCTCTCGCTCTCCTGTCTCGTGCGCACCCCCTAGGCGGGCGCAAGCCGACATACCGACACAAAATAAACTTCCCATCCGTCCTGGGTGGCGACCGTCACCTCTGTCCCTCCCTCTCCGCACGCCCGCCGCGAACGGCCTGTGCCGCGACAAGGGCGAACGGTCGGTCCCTCGCCCAAGCACTTGGCCTCAATCGTTGTGCAGTCGCGCTCTTGCGGGCTCAGAGGACAAGGAGGCCAGCGGAAAGTGGGGCACGTGGCAAGGAGGGTGAGGACCCAAGGGGTTGGAGGCGTCTCGCAGTGGTCTCGGGGCCTCTTGGACCAGAGGGGCCTCCAAAGACCCCAGGGTTCCGAGCAGGGCGACTACCGAATAGATGGTCACAACATCTCGCAGGGGCAACGACAGGAGGGGGGAGGGGGGGGGACTTGCCCAAGGCTTGGAGCATCGACCCAACAGGGAGGACCGTGAACGCATTCGCGCGGTGCTCCTGCAGTCCTGCAGTCCTGCGTTCGAGATCGACTCTCGCCTCTCGCTCGTGCACTTACCGCAGCGCCGCTCCAAAGTCGCTCCCTCGCCTTCGCGCTGGGCGCCTTCCTGCGCTGAGGATCCTGACCCGTCCCCTCGCGCTGGCGCAGGCTCATTACTGCTGGGATCCAGAACTCAGTGTTCAACTTGCGTTTTCTCCTCAGCGCCTGCCAGTACCTGGTCCGGATTGGAAAAAGCTCGCCTCGGTGCCAGCCACAGTTGTAATTCAGACTAGTGATCTCGCATTCGCGCGTTCGCCCCAATGCGTCTCCTTTCCCTCTACCTCCTTCTGCTTCAGAGCCGCCCCTTCCCGATTTCGTACACGCCTGAAGCGCGAGCCAGAACTATGATCTCTCGATGTCATTAGCGCCAGGGAAACATCCGAGATTGACCATGGCGCTTGCGCCACAGCTCCCTCGAAGTAGGCCCAAGAAGTCGCGCTCCCGCTCCACCTCCTCTTTTCCTGTTCACGGCTTGCCAATCATATTCTGATTGTGTGACTGCGCCCGCAAGCAGAGCTCCACGCACGCATAAGTCCCAGTCTTGGCTAGAAGCCGATGCCCTCGTGAAACGTCTGGGGATGTCTCGAAGCCTCCAGGGACACCCAAGAACCTTGACGAATCTCTGGGGACTCCCGCGCGTGATCCTGATCGGGCAGGATCGCTGCGAACTTGTGGGCCACCTCCCTCAGGTCTGAACTTCGTGGGGGGGGGAACACGGGGCGGATTGTTTTCACCCCCTTTCGGGCCCCACATCACGAACCGATCCTACTCGAGAAAAGCCTGGTGAAGATGGGGCCGAACACCTTCATCTCAATTTCTCGACGCTGCGTCTGTTTTCACGACGTCGGATCGCGGGGTGGACGCCAGGGGATGCCCGCCCGACAAGAGGCAGCAAAAGGCACCGCCGTGCAGGAGGCGCGCCAAGTGCGGCAAGAGACCTGGAACGGCCTGTTCGTGTCGATGCAATCGGAGCCCGGAGCATAGTCGGAGGCGTTCCAATCGGCGTAACCATTGCCTCCCCAGCCCTGTTAATTGCCCGCCCCCTCCCCACCTTCCCACCACATGCCAAAAGAGAAGCAGCTCACTGTTTGCATTGTTTCCCACAGCCAAAAGCGGTTGATGCATCCTGTGGCCCGTATGCGCCAGATCACAGAGGACTGAGCTCCGGAACTACGTTGCGTCAGGCAGGATGGATGGCCCACTCGAGCCAGAGCGCCAGTACCCAAAAAACGGCTGGTCGGTAGGGGGCGACCACGAGGCCGCGGGGCGCCGACTCAGTCGTGTGCGCTGAGGCGATTCAGCGCCGCCTTGTGGCACGCCCCGTGAAGAGCAAACGTGGCAGTAGGCTTGCCCTCTAAGTAAAGGTACTAATTCAGCACGAGGTTGCGCATTGCCGTGGATCTGGACGGAGGAGGAACTCACTGGTTGCCCTTTCGGTCGCCGCCCCGTCCACCTTCCTGCCTCGCCTCTCCCTCTCCGTCTCGTCGCGCCTCCCTGCCGCTCTGCCCGCTTCTCCCATCCATCCGCTCCACATCCAGTCAAGCATCGACGCCCATGTCTTCGTGCGCCCATCCACAAGTCTCTCTCGGCCCATCCCTGCTGGCCTGAGGATGGGGAGGAAGAGGAGGAGGAATATGGAGTGGAGAAGGAGGGGGAGGAGGAGGAGGAGGAGGAGGAGGAGGAGGAGGAGGAGGAGGAGGAGGAAGGGAGGAAGGGAGGAGGAGGAGGAGGAGGAGGAGGAGGAGGAGGATTTGGATTGCGCTCTGAGTCGCCGAGGAGACGGTCAGCTTATTGCGGCATTCGTTAGCTGCTGCAACAGTGCGTGCATGCAGCACGGGCACCAAAGTTTGGTGAATCTCTCAGCCCCCGTCCTGACCTACCACCCCCCCCTTTATCGTCTGAAGGCGCTCAGGGCGCATCACAACGCCGCATGAGGAGGGGGAGGCAAGAGGTGGCATATCAAGGAGGGGTGCAGGTGAGATGGCCTGCGAAGGGCCGGAAGTCAGCTCAATGGGCTGGCGCAAGGCCGGGGCCTGCGGGAACGCACGATATTCGCACGCTCGACCTGCGGCCCGTGCCTGCACCAACGCCGCAGTGCAGCCCTCGTCCCCACCAACAGACCTAAACTCACCCTTAGTCCCATCCCGTCAGCGTCCCCCCCGAATCACTCCTCTCTCAAATCAAGTGGCCTGCATCGGGTCGAACAAAGAAGCGACGACCGCGTCGTGGCTCTTGGCCACTCGGCAGCGGGAGGGGGGAGGAAGGGATGGAAACCAAATAAAGATAAACCCGAGAAGGAAAACTGGGACTGGACCGCACATCTCCAACCTCCAGCCTCAAAAGGATGGCAGCAACGAGCGGAAGGGAAGAGGCTGGGACGCATACCGATCACCTCCAGAAGGCTGTGTCCCTTGTAAATACTGGCTGCACAATTTCAGGTAGGCAGGCACAGAGGGGACGATGGTAGATAAAACCGAGAAGAGAGACAGAGAGAGAGAGAGAGAGAAATAGAGAGAGAGAGAGAGAGAGTGAGACTGGGACGCATATCCTAAACTTCCGATCTCGGAGGAGGAGGAGGGAAGGAGGGAGGGAGGGAGGGAGGGAGGGAGGGAGGGGGGGAGGGAGGGAGGAGGGAGGAGGAGGAGGCGGAGGAGGAGGAGGAGGAGCGAGCGAGCGAGCGGAAGCCGAGGGGCAGTTGGATCCAGAGACGGGGAGGGAGGTACAGCCCTCACAACCCCCACCCAGCACCTACACGGTGGAGCCCGATGGCCAGGACCACCTTGCAAGCGCCAGGACGGGGCGTGGGGGACGTGCCTACCTCAACGCGGCCGCGGGCGGCCACGGAGCACGGGGCCCGCGGCAGGCCCGTGCTCACCCGCACGAGGCCCTCCAGGGCGACGAAGAGCACCACGAGGGCTCCCAGCGCCATGAGCTGATGCAACCACCACGCCCAGTACAGCGCCAGGACAGCGAACGGCAAGCCCTCGTGAAAAACGCCGCCGACGTGGCAATCGACGGGGACGCTGAAACACAGCAGCTCGATCGAACCGCGGCAAAGCGGACAGGCGCTCCCGCCGCGTAGAGCATTCGAGAGCCAGCAAAGCTGGAACCGCAAGAAGCTCGGACGGGAGTCACCCTCCTGGCGACGAACGAACCTGCCGCCCCGAGGGCGCAAGATTTGAAAACGAAACAAAATGTCAAAGCCACCGGGGATCAAACACCACATCGCGGCTCCAACACTGCATGCAGCCAAGGCTGCACACTCACTCCGACTCTTGGTCGTCAACATCATCTCCGGGAAAGTGGCCCAGCTCCACGGCCTCGAAATACTCGAGCCCGTGCGCCAGGAGAATACGTGATGTGTCCAGGGGCCTCTGCTTCTTCATTGGGGTCGGAACGGAGCGGCTGCTCAACTCCAACTCCCCCTTCTTGGTCACGCTAACCATGTTTCGTGCTGGCCCAGATGGCGATCTCGGAGACTCGAGCCTAACATGAGCTCGTATCGCCTGTGGATGCCTGAGAGATTATCGAAGTGCCGTCGGTTCTCCACCTCGCGACCACCTCCATGCTTGCCTTTACACTTCTGAGCCAGCCCTCGATGATCCTTGGAATCAGAACGGAAATACTGACAGCACGTAGAACAAAACAAAATAAAATGCGGCGAATCCACCATCGGATATTCCACTAGGCTGTGGCCTGCCACCTTCCATGGCTCCAGAAAACCATCGAGCTCGTCTTCCAGGATCAATTCACAGAAAGGCTCATTGCCCAACATGGCGGGCAGGGGAGGCTGTACATGGGCCTGGTGCTCCCCATCTTCCTTCAGCGGGAAATGGTAGTCCAGGCCCTCAGCGTTGCAGTCATACAGCCATGCTTGAAAACTCCCAAGGTACTGCAACAGCATTTTGTGCAACTTCCTGCAGCCACGCACGAAATCCACATGCTCATCATCTGGCATATTACATGCAGCCCCTCGCTTCGCCAAAGCATCCGCTGTGGAGTTGCCCGTCAACCCAACATCAGACAACACACCTTCAATCACATCCGTCGGTGTTGCATGGCCCTTCGCATACTTGAACGCCTGCCGATGGAACTCCTCATTCTGAGCAATCATCTTCCACACATTGGCTCTTGGACTGCCTGCTCCCACTGCCAGGTTAGGGGAACGACAGTACGCCAGCGTGCCCTTGCAGTCTGAGAGCACAGTGTATGATCCAAGAACGTGCCTGCTGACCATCAACATCGCATAATCCTCTCCGCACTTTGCCACTTGTAGGGGACACAAGTCTTTTGGCACTGCTCCGTAGTATCTGGCCACCCTCCTGCGCTCCTGGTCGTATACTACAACTGACCATCCAGCGCTTCTCATATACGGTATGTCAGTGTAGAACCCACTTCCGCCAGTGAAAACAAAGCCTCCTTCAACATGAACAACTCCTTTACGTTCCATGTCATAAAAGTGGTGTACTGGGTTCCTGCTCGGACAAGCGAACGCTTGAGCAGGGTCAGGAAGAACGCCACGGCAGAAGAGAATCTGTAGGGCCTCAAGGGGCCTGCTTCATACGCTTGACTGCGCTGTGGAGCTCCTTCGGGAGCCTCTCCTGCCTGAAGTAGTGGTACGCGTCGCACTCAAAGAACCTATGATAGAACGTGCCTGGGCAGCCTTGGCACCTCAAGCATACCGAGGGCCCCCCGTTGAAGGACTTCGAGACCCTGTACTGGCAACAGTGGGCCCCCGAGCACAGGCCCCTGGGAGCCCTCTTTTCCCTTGGCGGTAACTTACTGCGCTTTGAGTGTAAGACCTCGTTCACGGGTGTCCACGATAAAGGGCCTTGAGGGACCCGTGAGCCACCATCAGCGAGCCTGTGGAGAGCTTCCCTATCGATGCGCCTCCAAACCCCGTGCTTGACCATCGAGCTCAGGAGGGCGGGCGGAGTGGTTCTGACGTCCCAAAGCTGCTCGTCGTCATCTCTGATGGCGCGGACGTCCTCCCAAGACCACCCAATCCTGTGGAGCGAGAGGAGAAGCGCGGAAATCGGGTTTTTGCACTTGGCCCAGCGTTGCGGGTCCAGTAGCAGCGGCCTCGCTTCTTTGAGCAACCTGCCCACGACCGCCCATGTGACGGCCTGTGAATTCATGACGACAGCAAAGGTGTGGACAGCGTCCACCGTCGCAATAACCAATGGGCCCTGCTGCCAGCCGCACTTTGCCGTCAGCAGTGAAAGACCCACAGATGCACATGGCTTGTACTTGCCAACGTTCAAGTACGACATGCGCAGGGACTGGATCCTCGAACTTGCCGCACCATGGATACTGGAGCCCCGCAGAGATTTGGCCACGACCCCTGCTCGATGCACAGCTGGTTTTTGACGACCCAGTCCCTGGAGAGCTTTGATACGCGCGCCTCGCTGCATGGCCTCTGAGATCCTCGAAACCTGAGTGATGATCCTCCTCATCCTTCCGTCAATGGCGTCTCCCCCTAGATCTCTATGAAAGGCGTCGCGTCCAGGGCAAGGAACATCCCCTGGCCAAAGATCTCGCACGCGCGCTCTTACTTTGCGGAAAACTTCATCATCACTGCACAACAGACCGCACTTGCCCCACGAAACCGGGAGCCTGCGGCCCCCCATGCCTCTTAACAGCATCGTGAGACCAGTAATAGCCTGATCTGCAACCTGAGCGGGCCCTCCTATCACATGTAAGCTGATATCATCGATCAAGTTCTTGCTTCTGATGAGGTTACACTTAGCCCCATATGCTCCTGAGCGTTGTGATCGCCATCAGCTTAGCCAACCCGGTTGCGCATGAGCAACCTGCAATAATGGACCCGTTCGCGTTAATGAGCTCCGAAACCGATTGCTGGTAGACGGCCCTCCTCGGGCCTCTGCACAAGGCGCACAAGGGCCTCAGAAGAGCCAAGGGAAAATCAGTATCCCTGGCAGCACACAACAGTTCCTGGTGGCTGACCATTTCATAAAACTTGCGGAGGCCCACAAACGCGCTGAAACTGACAAAGCCTAACTGGGGAGCCACAGCCGCCAGGGTGTTGTGTATCCAGGCGGACTTGTCACATGAGGTCTCACTAGAGGCCCCCCAGAAAAACCGATCGGGCAACTTGGATTCCCACTTGGAGACCTGCTTGTGTCTATCTGGGCCATATTCTAGCAAACAAGGGCATCAGGCCCATGGGTCTTTCCCCCCCTTGTGGCGTGGGGAGAAAAACGATGAGAGTGAGCCATGTGTCGGTGAGCTCTGGTTCAGCTTCCCACCGATGTAAAATCACGAGCAATGCCTCTATGAGAAGCTCAGGCAACTTTTCAATCCACCTCGTGTGAAAGGGATCCCAGCCTAGACCAGTGTTGGGCCTGATCGACCCAGGGGCTGCCCGCAGCGCTGCTGGCCCAATCTCGGGAAGGGGAGTCGCGCCTGAAACATCCCAGGTGAGGGGGCGGGGCTCCAGGTCCCTGGACGGAAGCTTCCCGAGCGAGACCCAAGTCCCCAGCATGGCCTTCAAGGCCTCATGGCCCACGACGGGCACCGAGTCAGCAAGCACCGGTTGGGAATTGCCCTGAGGGCCCCAATAATACTTATGCGCAAGGCCCCCTCCTCTCTGGAACGCGAGCTCTGAACATTCCTTTCAAGACTGCCGCGCCGCCGACGCACCCTTGCTCGTCTTCTGCTGCACGCGACGCTGGAGCAAGTCACGCACCTCAACACGAGAGTCGGGACCTCGAGACGAGCAAGGAAGGCGGCATGCGAGCTTGGTGACACAGCCTCCTGAGTCGACGCAGCCTCCACCTCCCCCGAACCCATCCAAACGGCACCAACCTCCTCCATACGTGCAACAGCGCTGCTGATCGCAGCATTCCTATCTGGGGCCGTGGAGTCTTGCGCGCGGAGCCATTGCATCGTCACTCTGCGAAGCGTTAGCCACTTCTGAGTTAACGCACTGGCCTTTCTTCGGACACTTCTTCCCCAAGCGCAAGACAAGGGCACTTGTTCCAGACGGCACCCAGCAACAAGTCCAGAATAACGGGGCCGGTCAAACTCGGGCAGCCCCGCGTGCATGCGCAGATGCAGCTCAGCGGAAGAGAGCCACCTGCGCGCAAGACTGTCCACGGACTCCCCAGCAACAAATTCGAAACCTGGCCAGCCCGAGGTGTCTCCTGGAACAATTGGCTCCATCTTTTTTTGTGAGCCTGAACGCCTCGGGCTGGATCCGCCTGTAAATGAAATTGTGGCTTCCTACCCCCGACATCACGAGGGCAGCCGCTTTGTGGGGCCCCACGGGAGTGCCCTGCCGAAGGCATATGCTACGGACGAGGGGCACTAGCACATCACCCATCACGAAAAAAGTCTATGCAACTGTCATTACACGTGGGCTGTTCAACGCGCACAACCTCCGCGTGTAGCACGTTCAGGAAACCGTGCCGAAGAAAACTGTCGGCCCCAAAAAGCTCAGCTTCGACGTTCCAGTCACCAGCAATGCAGACGGGCAGGCACGAGGCCCGAATGGCCTCAATGAGGGCTCCCAAGAGCTCCACGTTGCCCTTTAGGCCCACCCCCACCTCTCCATATACCGAAACGAAGAGAATCTGCATATCGCCTAAAACAGTGCGCTGGAACTTTAGCCTGCTCCTGGGGTGTGCACATGCTGGCAAATACACTGCAGCAGGAATGTGAGCACGCGTGCACAGGCCTACCCCGCAGGACGCCGACAAAGCCGAATTGCCAGTGATCGCGCACGGTGACGCCTCCAGCCGATAGCCTCGAGAACGAGCCCAAGCTTGACCGCGTCGGGTCTGCTCACCTGCTGCGAGGCGGAGCTCCTGCAACACGAAAATGTCCGCCTGTAGCAACTGGTCCAGCACGCACCACTCCATGAAACTCTGAGCCGTGGCCCAGGAATTGCAGTTGTAGCATACCACCGTGAACTCCGTGCTAACCCCGAACGATTGTATCGGCTGCTTGTCACCAGCCACCTGAAGCTTGCGTAGCGCTGTGTAAGTTGAACCCCGACCGAGCAACTCCAACACATGAACAGGAAAGGGCCCATGTGGTACGCCAGGGCCAGGTGGATCAGCGTGTTGCCCTGCAAGTTGCCCAGCAGAGAGAGGCACCGCATCGCTTGATGCCTCTTCTCCATTCAAATACTCGCACAGGTCCAGGCAGCTGTAGTCAGGGAGCCGCAGGCCTCCGTAGGTTACTGGCCTTAAACGATTGTCTTCCACTTCGCCCCCTTTGACCGCATCCGAGGACACGAGGGGGCACTCAATAGTTAGGATTGTGTAGCCGCTCAGGCTTGAAGCCTCCTGCTGCCAAAAGACGAGATTTGGCTCGAAGCTCCTCCTCGTCTTCACCTTCGTCAGCCAAGGTGCCGACATCCTCGCGCAGCAGCTCCACCTCGATCGTGTCGATGTCCCATGCTGCTGGGGGCGGCGCCGCTGGTTGACCTCCGCTCGCTGCCCCGCGGGCTCGCTTGTCGGGCTGCTCCTCCAGCAGCTCAGCCGCCCAGGACTTGAGCACCTCAGCCAGCTTCGGGGCCAGCTTGCTGGCGTCCTCGACGCCCTCCATCGCACCAAGCGCTGAAAGCAACTTGGCCTCGTCCAACTTGATCTCAGGGCCCGTGAGGTCCATGGCCTGATGCTGACCTGGCTCATCAGCTGGCTGCGAAGATGCGAGAGCACGCACCTCCTCCTCCAGCTGCAGGCAGACCTTCTGGCGCTCCAGGACCACATGCGCAGCTGCTTTGGCCTCCTCCTGCGCCTTGAGCAGATTCTGGTCCGCTGCCACTTTGTCCTGCTCCGCCTTCTGGTAGCGGATGCGGGCCTGCTCAACTCGGCGCGACAAGGCCGTGAGCTTCGCGGGCAAGGGCTTGTTCTCATACAGCCTGCGACGAGCTCCCTCCAGCTGCTCGCGAGCAGCCTTTAGAGGTAGCTCCGCCCAAGGGGAGCGGACCGACTCCAGCCACTGCACATGCTTGCTGAGACCGTCGATCTCATCACGTAGCTCTTCCGACTCATTGTGCTCCTCTGCCGCGTCGCCTCCGCCCAAGTCAGGCGAAGCACGCAGCTTTGCACTCTCGGCCTCCAGCTGGTGCAGACGCTTCTCCAACTTGGCATACGATGCAGCCGCTGCAACATTGGTGCCGTCGGCCTTGCGCTTGGTCCTGCTGGGAGAGTCCGAGGGAACGACGCACTTGAATGCCACCCCCTTGTGCAACTTGCACTTGTAGCACTTCTCATGGATCCCATAGTTGATGAGAGGAGCCCCAGTACGACGAAACGTGCAAAACTTGCACATCCAATCTTGCTTGGACTCCTGCTGCTGCTCACCACTCCATGTCCACGGCGCTGGCACCATGGCAACGTCTTTGCTGCGAGTTGGGCCGCCAGATAACCCCTGCGGTACTGGCTGAACGAAAAAACTGTCGAGCGCAAGCGCTCTGGTACTGCCGCGGACTAGCGGTATCCACTTGTTCCACTGGGGAACTCCAAGCCTTGAACCAAAATGGCTACGGAAGAGGAGGAGGACGAGGAGGAGGAGGAGGAAAAAGAGGAGGAGGAGGAGGAGGAGGAGGAGGAGGAGGAGGAGGAGGAGGAGCGGTGGCCCGCCAGAGGGCGCACGAGGGCGCGGAGAGCCCCCCGACGCCCCGGGGGGCTGCGAACCGACGGCAGCGGGGCGTCTCGTGCCTCGGCCTCGGACTGCCAGGGCGGAGGACCCCCCCACCTCATCTCGTCGTGAAAGAATCGCCCTCCTCTTTGGGAGCTCTTCCTCCTCCTCTTCCTCCTCCTCCTCCTCCTCCTCCTCCTCCTCCTCCTCCCCGTCCTTCCCCTTCCAACTTATGGTGGTGGCGGTGGGAAAAAAGGCCCGTCGTGAAAGAATCGCGATCGACGGCTTCTGGCGGACCTTCGGGCTCCACATAGGCAGTTGAAGGTTCCATGGGGCGTCCGATAACCACCGCGTGCGGTCGACTGGCCTTGGGGACAGGGTCGGGACTTCCAGGGACGACGCACTGAACAATTCGGGGCATAAAATCTCCGGGGACGGGGGAAGAGCAGAAGGGGGGACGGGAAACCAGCTGCACGCGACCGGTTCTTTTCCAGCGCCCCACGGCGCCGGAGGCGGCCAGCATCGAGTGGAGTGCCCGGCGGCGGGGGCCGAAACCAGCTGCGTGCAGCAGATTACCCCCCACCCCCCGTTCCCCCAGCCCTGCTGCTCTTCCGCCCTGAGACTCTGGGCCCTCTTCGGATCGACCAGGCTCGAACGATTGGGGTCGAGAGCTCTGCTCATGAGTGTTTCGCGATGTGGCGCTTTTCCATGACGTCGGATCTCAGGGCTGGGCCTCTGCAGTCGACGGTACCCTGGCACTGTCCCATATCGCTGAAGCGCTCCTCGCACGGAGGCGCCGAGGCATGCATCCACCTCACCACGGACACAACCAGCCACTGTGCACTTGCATGCCTGAGGCGGTCAAACCACAGGGCCGGGGAGCAAAAACAAAACAGGCCAGCAAACCAGGATGACGAGAAAGGGCGAAGCATAAATCAATGCGACGACAAGAGGAGGATGAGGAGGAGGATGAGGAGGACGAGAAGGTGGAGGAGGATTGGATTGGACACTTCGGGGGGGCAAGGCTGAGCCTTCCAGCAACGAAGGTTAGAGGGATACCCTGCACCGCTCCGCGGCACAGGGCCCTCCTCCAACCAACACGCCAGAAACCGCAACCTCCGAGCCAAGGGGCGCCGCGCGTGGTCTCAGCACAACGCCCAGGAGACGCCCAGGAGACGGCAAGCTCGAGGCCGTTGCCTCGACACGAACAGTAAGCTACACAAGCGACTGCTCCACATCATCATCGTCATCCACCTCTCGTCCTCCTGGCCTCCACCACCCAAGTGCCTTCGAGCGGAGGGGCGGAGGGGCGAAGGAGGGGGGGGAAGATGGTCCGAAGGGGAGGGGAATAAAGGGGAAAGACGCCTAAAAGGCGAAGCGCTGCCGCCTCACCTCGACCTTGCCCTTCCCCTCGCCCTTGCCCCTGCAATTGTTCAGCCCGGCCTGGCATTCCCTGCACCGGGCCGCCCCGCCCTGGATGGCGAACCTGCGCATGCGCGCGCAGGCGCGGCAGTCAACGACGACTCCGCCGTCAATCCAGTCCTTGCCTTTACCCTTGCCCTTGTAGTTGTCCTTGCCCTCGAGGGGGGGAAGAGACCACGGGTCGGCGCCAGCAACCCATGGATCAGGGCGAGTACCGGCACGCACAGCCATATCACTGTTACTGTTCTTGCCTTTGCTCATGTCCGTATCGTCGTCCGTGCCTGTGACCTGCAAGGAACGAGATGCCGGAATATCCGAATGAGCAGGAACTTCACACGCAGGAGCCCGAGGAGCAACTGGAGGGCCACCGTCGCCAGCAGCATCAGGAGCGCCGCCCTCGGCAGCATGGTGTACCTCGGCGGGCGCAGCGGCATGCGGCCGCAGCGCGGCAGCCAGCGCCCCTGCGAGGCGCGAAGGCTGCACGCCGCGGTGCGCAGACAGGGCGTCCAAGGCGCGCAGCAAGTGCGCCGTGACCCGGGCCTCAGCGCGCAAGTACTGCGCCCGCCTGGCCGCCGCCGACCCGTTGGGGCGGCGGCGCTTCGGCGCAGCGTCGGCATCAGGATGCCCCTCCATGGCGCTGCTGGTGAAGGCGGGAGGCAGGGGCAGGGAGAGGGGGGGGGGAGGGCGGCGCGGGAGGCGCCAATGGCGCGGGCTGGCAACCAGGCCCTGCCTGTGCCGAGCTGGCGCTAGAAGGTGGAGGAGGAGGAGGAGGAGGAGGAGGAGGAGGAGGAGGAGGAGGAGGAGGAGGAGGAGGAGGAGGAGGGTGAGGAGAGAGCGGCCATGGAGCGAAACTGCCCGCAGCGCCAGCGGCGCCAGGAGGAGCCAGCAGGCAACGCCCCCCCCCCCCCCCCGCAGGCGCCGAGGCCCATCGAGATGCCCTCGGGGTCGCTGTCGAGGTGCAGCGTGGAGCGGAAGGAGAACTGCGGGCGGCCCCAAGCCGAGACGCGCGGGCCGACGGAGGCGGCCTCGCTCTCCTCCGGCTGCCGCTCCTCTTCGTGCGCCTGCTGCTATTCCGCCCTCGAGGACTCTTTACCTAGACCCCCGACGTCACGATTTTTTCATAAAGTCGACCCCCAGAGGCCTCGACCCCTTCCCCAGGACCCGCTCTTCGTCCCGAGTGGCTTTTCGACGGCCCCGAGGCCCGGGAAGGGCCCCCAGCGGCCGAACAGGACGGAACACTTCCCGTCGTGATGCCTTCCTTCCTCGAGGGGGTCCGGGCGCTGTGCACAGGTCAGGGGCGCCGCTGGGTACGTCAGCGAGGCGCCTTTCGGGGGCGTGGCACGCCGCCCACGGAGCGTGGGCGCCCCCAAGGGCCGCCCGCGCGGTGTACGCGGAGGGTGCGCGGCGCCCTCGCCCGCCGTCCGCCCCGAGCCGCTTCCCGGGCGAAGCCTGCCCCGGGCAAGCTCCATCGGCAGGTCGGTGCGCCCTCTGCGGAAACGCTCCGCCGCCGGAGGAGGAGGAGGAGGAGGAGGAGGAGGAGGAGGAGGAGGAGGACCTCGGGTGGGAGGCCCGCCTCCCTCCAGTGTATGTGAGGGCCGTCGGAGCCCTCGGCATTGCAAGGCATCGCCGCCCTATTGGCGGTCAGGCCCCAGCTATGGCCAAGTGACCTGCGCTCTGCGTCAGGCCTGCCGTCTGAGGTGGGCCTCGAAAAACATCCTCTGAGCACCCACCCACCCAAGTGACCGATTTTTTCCCAACCAACTTGTTGCTGGGTCCTCACTGTGAAGAAAAAGCGCCCCGCGTCCCTCCCTCCTGCCTCCTCCTCCCCCCTCCTCCCTCCTCCCATCCCTGTTTCTGCCCTCCGAGCCAGTCAACCATTTCGGCGCACCTCTCACACGTTTCGCGACCCATAGGGAGCTCCACCAGATGCCCCTGTGGCAGCGCCCGCATGCGGTTCCGCCCCTATTTCGGTGCAGCCCTCACACGCCTCGAAGCTCCACCGAAGGCCCCAATGGCAGCGCCCGCATGCGTTTCCACCCGCATCCCGGTGCACCACTCACACGTTTCATAGCCCCATGGGGAGCCTCACCGAGGGCCCCAGAGGCAGCGCCCGCATGCGGTTTCACCTCAATTTTGGCACACCCCTCACACGTTGGGCAGCCCAATAGAGAGCTCCGCCGAAGGCCCCAGTGGCAGCGCCAGCATGCGGTTCCACCCTCCGTTTCGGTACGTCCCTCACACGTTTCGTGGGCCCATCGGGAGCCCCATCGAAGGCACAGTGGCAGCGCCCGCATGCGGTTCCACCCTCCATTTCGGCACACCCCTCACACGTTTGGTAGCCCTATAGGGGGCTCCACCTAAGGCCCCAGTGACAGCGCCCGCATGCAATTCCACCCCCATTTCGGTGCACCCTCACATGTACCGTGGCCCCATAGAGAGCTCCACCAAAAGCCCCAGTAGCACCGTCCGCATGCGGCTCCACCCGCGATTTCTGTGCACTCTCACACGGTTCTTGGCCCCATAGGGAGCTCCACCGAATGTCCCAGTGGCAGCGTCCACATGCGGTTCCGCCTTCCATTTCGGTGCACCCTCACACGTTTCGTGGTCCCATATGGAGCTCCGCCGAAGGCCCCAGTGGCAGCGCTCGCATGCGGTTCCATACCTATTCCGGTGCACCCCTCACACGCTTCATAACCCCATAAGGGGCTCCACCGAAAGCCCCAATGGCGACGCCCGCATGCGGTTCTACCTATCATTTCGGCGACCCGCTCACACGTTCTGTGGCCCCATGTGCCATAGGGAGCCCCACCTAAGGCTCCCGTGGCAAAGCCCGCATGCGGTCCCAGCAGCCATTTCGACACAGCTCGGACACGGTTCGTGGCCCCATAGGGTGCTCCACCGAAGGCCCCAGTGGCCCCTGTTGCTGGCCCCCCGCCTCCATTTCATTCTCCCCGCGATACTCGAAGGCCCCAGTGGCAGCGCCCGCATGGTGGCACCGCCACGTGTCGACACACCCTCGACGCGCTTCGGGCCCCATCAGGAGATCTTCCGAAACCGGTACTCACAACGACGGTACTCACAACGGCATTTGGTTGGGTGCTTCGTCGGGCAATTGTTGCACTTCTGGGTAGCCATCGTTAGCCAGGGGGGGTTTCGGGCGGGAGGGTAACGGTAACGCCAGCCGCGGCGTGTACCTGCCAGGGTGCGTCCGCGCCACTGGCGCATCAATCGCCTGTGTACCCCACAGGATGTAGGGGGGGGGGTCCAGGCCACCCCCCCAGTACGATCGTTAGCGTCACGCGTGAGGGGGCAGGGCCCAGGTAACGAGCGTTACCCTGGGGAGGAACAGCAAAAACGCTCACCCCAAGATTTCGTGGACGGCACTGCCTCTGCCCTTCCCTCCCGCCCAGCTGGCCGGCCAGTCGAACGCCTGCGGCCCGCACGACCACAAGGGGAAGGCGCAAGGCCCGCTTTCCATTGCCCCATCTGTTTTGCTTCGGCGTGCTGTCGGGCGCCCCCGCGGCGTCAGACCGAAAGCCAGAGTGCAAAGATGGGACACCATATGGACCAGAAAACCGCTCAGAAATACCATCCTCAAAAGAAACACCCCGACAAGCAAAGGCGTTTAGTAAACGCACCCAGAGAAGGGGCCCATTTATCGCGGTCGGGGTGGCTTTTCTTCCCTTGGCACCAATTGCGGCGAGAGGCAACATCTGTTTCGCGGGCAATTTTCGGAATGGTCCTGCTCGCGACGGCCGTCATCAAAAAACGTGGCGCCCCGCGTCGTCAACTACAGTGCTGAGATCAGGCGCGCGCGCACCCGCCCGGAGACGTCGCCCCCCGTTTTCTCGTTGTGTCTCCCCTCCTCCCGCCCTCTTCCACCTATTGGCGCGCAGCGGCGCCAACTGCGACTTTGCTGCCCAAAGCGAAGCAAGCATGAGGAAGCTGCAGCAACACATTATCAGCTACAATGTTGTTTCTTGCTTGCAGCACTGCCAGAACAAATCAGCCGCCTCGAGTTCCACGGGCAGAACATAAACATAGAGCCGCACCGTAAGGCAAAAAAGGCAGGCACCGGCATCAATTGCCCAAGCGCTTTGAAGCGCACTTCCGCCAAGATTTGGGGCAGGCTTCAAAGGGCCCGGGCCTCGTGCTGGCTCGTGCGCAGTAGCTATCGTACAGCAGACGTGGGGAGGGGCAAGGAGAGGTGGGCACTGCGACGAAGGAGGGAGAGGAGGAGGAGCAGGAGTCTGTGACCAGTTTGGCTCGAGTCCAGATGCATTACTCAAGGACTCGATATCATGGCGCGGGGAGGGACGGCCACATCACCTCAGCGCTGGGAGAACGCACGGCTCACAACTCACGTGCGCAACCGTCGGTATCGCATGCGGGCCGGTTGCGATGGATGGCCCTCGCGCCTGGCCGGTGCCCGAGCAAGGGAGACCGCACTCGAAACTACTGAGTTCGTTGCGCGGTATGTTCGGAATAGCCGCGCAGCGTGCTGAGCTGCTGTCGTGATACCATACATGGGTTGGAAACGATGCCCCCCCCCCCGGATAGGTGCTACTGTCCGGTCGAGGGGCAGGAGGAGGAGGAGGAGGAGGACCAGAACTCGAACTCGAACTACTCTGGGGGACCAATCGCGATCGCCAAGTCAGCGCAGCTCGAATTAAAAAGTGGGTCCCCGAGTGGCCTGCGCAGGCAGCTTTGCAGGGCATTCAGCCTCTGCAGGCACGGGGCGAGTGCTCGGGCCCCAATCCGCCCCGAGACGCGGGCATCAACGCGTTCGAGGGGGGCGGCGGCACGGCTTAAAATCTGCAGACCGATGGCCAAGCAAGATCGAGGCTCTTAAAAAACAACAGAACTATGTCCCCGAGGCTTCACCCGCGGTTCTGGTTCTGAAAAACGCCGTCCCTGGGGAGTAAACCTGCGGCAATCTCCAGGGATTGCTTCCAGGACCTGCTTCTCACCCAAACGAAACGGCTGGGGGGGCCCCAGAGGAAGAGGAAGAGGCAGCAGCAGCAGCAGCAGCAGCAGCACTCGGAGGACGCGAAGGAGGACGAGGAGTGCGGGGTCCCCGAGCCGCCAACTCACGCAAGCGAGCCGACTGGGCCAGCAGCCGCACAGCTAAGGACAGTGCAAGCAGTGTGGTATGAGACGGGGGAGTGGGGCTGGGAGGAGGAGGAGGAGGAGGAAGAGGAGGAGGAGGAGGAGAAGGAGGGGGAGTACACACTCATGGCCGCCCTGGTCCGCGCAGCAAGGGAGGGAGAGACTCTAAAGTTTTCCTCTGGGCCACCTGAACTGCTTCAGACATTACAGAATGACCCCTCTGTACGAGGATGCATTGGTCGCCCAACTGCGCATGACTGGTCAGGCACGCTGGATGCTGCGTCTGCTCGTGCTGCGGAAAAAAATCGACAGACCTATTTGCGTCAACAAATCGTCGCTTGGGCAATCCCCCAAAGGTTCCAGACCCGACACCTAAACGATAAACCTATGTGCAGTTCAGAAGTTGGAGACGTCCTGCACCGATTGGATCCAGGTGAGGTCATCGGGCGGCGGCGGAGGGGATGAGATCATGGGGTGGAGGAGGACCACTGCGGCTCGGATTATTCGTTCAGGCAGCTGTCTAGTCCGTCTTGAACTCGGAGTTCGACGACGAGCAGGGCGGTGAGAGGAGCCCTGCTGCCAGGGGCACGCGCCTCCTGCTTCGCCGCCGTGTGCTGCTCCTGCTGCTGAATGTTGCGCGCCCCGATGGCCAACATCACCACGCACGGCACGTAGTTTCGCACCTCCTCGATCGTAAGGCCCGTCGCGAACTCCAGAGCGGCACGTGCCACCGTCGGCTCCAAACTACGGGGATCGACGTCCCTGAGGCGCTCCTCCGGTTCCTGCAGGACCCTGTCGAGGGCGTCTTGCCAGCGCGCGTCAGTCATGTAGGCTGGAAGCAACGCGTCCGCGCGGAGCAGGCCGGCCGCGACGAGGGCCAGGCCGGACGTGGCCGCCACCATCGCGCGCGGCGGGAACTGCTCACTCGGCGGGCTCGCCCGCAACGCCAGGGCGGCAACGGCGTGCATCCATGGCGCCGTGGCCTTGAATACGCCCACGGCGCGGCGCCGGGAGACGGCGTCGAAGCGCGCGCGCACCAGGTCGATCCACTGCAGCATCGTCGGCGCATACAGGTTCGGCAGGCTGGCCTTCAGCAGCCCCAGCTCCTCCCGCCGGACGTCGTCGGCGAGGATGGGGGGGCCGCCCGTTGCCTCGGAGAGCTGCGAGGCGTGCAGCGTGGCTATCTGCAGCGCCGTCGGCGGGCCCTGGGCCGCGTGCCCTTCGCACTTCGCGGCCACGAGCCACGCCGCCGCGGCGCTTGCGAGGACGCGGCGGTTCTCCTCGAAAGGCCCCTCGCCCGCCATCGCCGCGAAGCTGCCGTCGAACATGCCCATCGCCCAGAAGAAGCACTGCGGCGAGCTCTGGCCCAACCGCGCCATCCCGCTCAGGAAGTGCAGGCATAGGTGGCGCTGCCCTGGACCGCACGAGGCGAGCCCGCGCCCGCCGGCGCGCCCGGAGCGCCGGCGCAGCTCGTCGGCCTCGGCCATGGCCAAGAGCTCCACGTGCTCCATGGTGGCGTGGGCCTCGTGGAGCTCGTCCTCGAGCTGCTTCTCGATGGCGGCCCACACGTCATGTTTGCCGCCCTCTGGAGAGGCAGCGTCGTCAACGTCAGCGGTCGGGCTCCGCACCAGGGGCGGGGCGGCCGCCATTGTGTAGCTGTGGCGGCGGCGGGGGCGGAGATTCGATGGGGGCGACGCCCAGCTTGAGCCAGAATAGCTACGGACATGATCAGCTACAATGTTGGGGTTGGGAATGCTGCAACGAAGAGCGGGTGGTCATGGGCCAGCCAAGAACAGCGGCGTCATCAACTACAGTGCTGGGAGCGGCTGGTGCGTGCAAGCGGGCGGGCAAGAGCCAGCGAAGATCAGCTGTGTCATCGTAACCAAAGCTGGGAATGGCTCCTGCGAAGGAGCAGGCAGTGGCAGCAGGGACTGCCAATGCGAGAGTGCGAGGAAGCAGGCAGTGACAGCAGCACCTGTCGTTGCCAGGCCACGGGAAATTACCCCTGTGCGACCCTACCTAGAAGTTGGACCCCCTAGGAAAGCAGCATTAGTTGCTTTGCTATGCTATGCTATGCTATGTCATGCCATGCTGCGCTATGCTATGATATGCTATGCTATGCTATGCTATGATATGCTGCGCTATGCTATGATACGCTATGCTATGCTAAGCTGAGCCTTGCTATGTCATGTTGCGCTGTGCTATGCGAAGCTATGCTATGCTATGCTATGACATGCTAAGCTGCGCTATGCTATGCTCTGCTCTGCTCTGTTCTGCTATGCTATGCTGCGCTGCGCTGTGCTGTGCTGTGCTGCGCTATGCTATGCTACGCTATGCTATGCTGCGATATGCTATGCTATGCTGGACTATGCTATGATAGGATGTGCTGCGCTATGCCATGCTAGGCTCTGCTATGCGATGCTGTGCTCTGCTATGCTAAAGCTCGGCGAAGCCAAGATGAAGGTAAGCTAAGCGAAGATAAACCTGAGCTAAGATGAAGCTAAGCTAAGCTAATATGAAATAAGCTAAGCTAAGATGAGATAAGCAACGCTAAGTTAAGGGGACGTAGCTGGGGGAACCGCGGGGCGGATGCCGGGGGAACCACCAGGGGCGATATCCACTGCCCGGCCCCTGTAAGCACAGACGGTAAGAACCCTGCTGGGCAGAGCCTAGGTAGGGAATAACCATTTTCAGCTGCATTGCAGCGGGGGTCAGATCGTACGAGGAGTTAGGCATTGGCAGCACGCCGTGTCGGTGCGAGAAGGCAGACAGTGGCAGCAGCGGCTGTCGGCGCCAATGGGCCACGCAGAAGCAAAATGTTCAGCTACACTGCAACGGGGGCCAGCTCGTGCGAGAAGGAGAACGAAGGCAGTGGCAGCAAGGACTGGCAGTACGAGAAGGCAGGCAAAGGAAGCAGTTCCGGCCGGTGCGAGAAGGCAGCCGGTGGCAGAAGCAGTGGTCGGCGCCCGCCAGCGCAGCAAGAACACCACATCAGCTACGGCACGTTCGTGTCGTGTCGACCCGGGCGCTGATTCCTGACACCGCGGGGATCGTTCAACCTTTTTGGACGCCCGACATGGGTACGGAAAGAATGGGTACAATGCCCAACAACGTTGTCCCAAACCAACAGCGGCCGCTGTTGGGCAAGCGGCCTTCTGTCTCGAATGGACACAGGCCGCGGCGGCGTGGACAGCGAGTCCTGTTCAAAATGAACAAGATCCGCTGTTGGGCATTGTACCCATTCTTTCCGTGCCCATGTCGTTCGAGCAGAACCTTGAACTATCGGCCTCTTGCGCACAGTCCGATCGTTCAATATCGACCGATTCTGGGCCGCCGCCAGTCGACACGACACGAACCTACCGGCGTCAGCCCGTGCCGGGAACAGCTCGCGCGCGCAGACAAGCAGCGGCAGCGGGAGCGTGCAAGGCGAGAGGAGCAAGTTCTGGCAGCGGGGTTGGCACTACCTGCAGAAGGAACTGCACGTGGCAAACGCCATCAGCTACAATGCTGGAGCCAACTCGTACGAAATGGCAAGCTTTCCCAGGCCGCCGCAGCCGCAGGTGGTCACGCTGCCGAAGGACGTGGCTCGACAGATGGGCCAGCACCTGGGGGTGCCCCCCCCGTCGCTCTTCGCCACCACGGCGAGGTCCTCGTCGCCACGTGAGAGAAAACGCCATGGGGAAAAACAAAGCTGGGCTGCGCGCCACCAGCCATAAGTCTGAAGATCAGGCCTGGTCGCCCCATGACAGGCCTGGAGGTACGGGCGGTCTTTGGCGCCGCCGTTATGCGTGCTTCGCGCTTCGAAATTCTGGAGGTCTGGCCTGCTGAATCCTGTTGAATCCACGTCCTTTTCTCCTCCTCCTCCTCCTCCTCTTCCTCCTGCTCCTCTTCCTGCTCCTGCCGGCAAGCGCGGCCAGCTGCGGGCAATCGGCCATAAGCTTCAAACCGACGCTCTGGTAAGACAGACCAAGTCCTGTCTGGAGATCTGGTCTGGGTGCCCCACCTTTCCACGTTCGAGACCACCGGGCTCGTGGCTCCAACACACGATAAACCCATCTGTGAAGATATGCGGAGCGCGGCTCCGTGCAGCAGTAAGTGCGCCAGTGAGCTGAACCCGCCTTTTATGCAGGAAAAAAGGCGCCCGCGAAAACTGATCCTCGCAGGACGCTGGAACGTCAATTCAGCCTGGGCCCTCCTCGTCCGCCACGCCGCTCGAGGCGGGTCACGTGAAGCATCGAGCGGCAAGCTCGACAGCGTGAGGGTGCTCGAAACGGCACGCACCAACACTGAGTGCCCCTGAAGGCTCTGGGGGGAACAGCACCAGTGCGTTCGGGGCGGAGCCCCTCCCTGGACGCCATTCTCTGGGATTGTTCGGAGCTCCTTGATCTGATTGCGGCGCCCGCCTCGGGAGTCGATGCTGGTGAGGATGCGCTCGCAGAGAAGACATCACACCTTACACGAGTTTGGACGGCTGCCCACTAGGAAATGGAGCGCTGCTGGGGCGGGGCGGGGTCGAGGCTCCTGGTTCGCCTCCATGAGGTCGATCTCGAAGCAACTCACGCCGCACACGCTGGCGGCGTCACAGTAGTAGTCCTCCCGTTTCCCGCCTCATCCTCTCGCGTGCCTCCTCGCCGCAGCACGACTCACATCTTCATTGCGTGACCCACTCGGTGGGGTTTCTTTGGGGGGCGCCACCTGGCCACCTCACGGATCCTGGCCGGACCCAGGATCGGTGTGTTCGCCTCCTGGCTTGGCCAGGGAGGCGCGTGCACCCATCCTGGGCCCAGGATGCGCCCGGCCAAGATCGGTTGCGTAGTAAGTTGGCGTCCCCCGGCTGTGCAGTCTACGCGCGCGGACATGTGAAAGAGCGCATGCTGTGGACGCTGCGCAAGGGAGGGGTCCAACAACGCTGAGATGCAAGGGGGGGGGGGGGGCCGAACCAGGGGGGTCCCCCATCCTCCCCCCCCAAGGGGGAGGAGGAGGTTTCGAACCGGGAAAGGGAACACCCCTCTAAGGGGGGCGGGGTTCGAGCCGGGGAGCCCCCCCCCAGCCCCCCTCGAGTTGCAGGGGGGAGAGTTCGAACCCGGGCCCCCCACCCTTGAATTGCAAGAGAGGGGGTTCGACAAGCTAGGTGCGCTCGCGTCATATCTGACGTCCTACCCCTCCCTCCTATTCCTTACCATGGCGTAGATTTCCTCTCTATTCGTATTGTCGGATGTCGAGCAATGCAGTGCTCGCGAGAGGGTGCGCAATGCATCGTAGAGCGCGGCATGGCATGGCGTAGAAGTGCACGGCAGCTCGTATAATGTCATAGCATGGCGTGGCATTGCGTAGTGAGGCACTGCATCACCAAAGCATTGCAACGCCAAGCATGGCATCGCACAGCGGCACAGAACAGAACACCGCACAGTATGCCATGGCAGTGCACCGGGCTCCTCGGAGGATAAATGGATAGTCTTCGAAGGGTCGGGGCCGGTCTGGAGTTGTGGCTGCATGTTTAGCTCCCTGGGCTCCGCGACAAGCTCCCCACAAGGCGGGCCTGATGGAGAGCACCCGCTGGCTCTGCTTGCAACTTCGCCTTCTGATAGCAGAAACAGGGCTCCTGCATACTTCCTCCAAACGCCGCCGCCCCCCAAACTCAACGAATAGACACCGGATGTGTCATCACTTGCGATGTTGTTTTTCTAGGGGTAATGTTTCAAAAGTTGGGGCCTATTTGGAAGGACTGACTGCGCCCGTGCTGCAGCGGGAGCACGTTTTGGAACAACCAGAGGCGCAGACACGGTGCCAGCGCTACAGCGGGAGCAACATTTTGAACGACCGAAAAGAATCGGAGTGCCAAAAACACATATGACAATCAAGACATGAAGCTAGCTGCAGCGGGAACACGATTCGAAACGAGCGCAAGCGCGGCAATGAGGCCAGCGCTGCAGCGGGAGCACGATTCGGAACGAGCGGAAGGCCGAAAATGAGGCCAGCGCTTCAGCGGGAACAACATCTTGACATAAACCCCCGCGAAAACCCAGTTGCTGGGAATCCTGTGTAAACACAGTGCGCGGATGGGGGGCCGAATACCTTCTGGACGTTATCAGGGGAGAGAGGAGCGTAGTACTCAGATTGTGTGATTGTAGAGGGAGGGCCCTCCCCCTTTGGAATCGACGACGGCGAGCGCAGCCGCCACCGCTGGCGCCGTTGAGAAGCGACGGCGGAAGGGCACCCCCCCTGCATCCGACGACGGCGAGCGCTGGCGCCGGCGCCGTCGCCGTCGGGCAACGACGACGACGACGACGACGACGACGACGTCGACGACGACGACGACGACGACGACGACGACGACGACGGCGCCGACGACGACGACATCGACGACAACGACGACGGCGCCGACGACGACGACATCGACGGCAACGACGACGGCGACGGCGACGGCGACGGCGACGGCGACGGCGACGGCGACGGCCACGGCCACGGCGACGGCGACGGCGACGGCGGCGGCGGCGGCGACGACGGCGACGGCAACGACGACGCGCACAGGGCCCCCCCTCCTGAGTTGCAGCGGGGGGGGGGCCGAACCTGGGGGGGTCGGCCCTCCACCCCCTTGGCGCTGGCGCCGGCGCCGTCGCCGTCGGGCATCGACGACGACGACGACAAGGTCCTTGTCGTCGTCGTCGTCGACGACTTCCTCTTCGTCGGGAGGAGGGCTGCCGTCGTCTTCCTTAGGAAGGCGACGCCAGCCCTCTGCCCGGTTCGAATCCTCCCCCCCTCCCTTGAGAAGAGGGGCGCCCCCCTCGGTTCGAACCCCCGGGGGGCCCCCCCCCCGGTTCGACACCCCCCTCGATTAGGGAGGCCGGTGTCCAGGGGGGGGGGGGCCCCCCGGTCTCCAGGGGTGCTCCATGTGTTGGGGGATCCCCCCCCGTTCCAACGTGTCAAAATGTTTATACAGGTATGTGTCCACGAACCGCGTTCTCTTGGGCATGCGCTCACTGATCGCAGTGACATGTGCAAACGCGCAATCCAATATACACAGACACCCACACGCACATCTGAGACTCCAATCTTCTGATTCGCTGAGGGCGTGGAACGATTGGGCTGTCTGGGCTGTGTGGACCTCTGGGGAGCTTGAGGCGGGGGGGGGCCTGGATGTGTTCTCAGAGGGATGGGGACTGGCGCTGCAGTGATCGCGAGCGATGTGGCTCTTCCTCTGGGCCTCGCTGATCAGGAACCGACGCCAGGGCACATGGGCCCGAACGCCGCAACGCAGACAGGCCCCCCGTGCCCGCCAAACACCTGCTCGCACTCGCCCGTGGCGGCGTCGAACAAGCGAGCCGTGCTGTCGTAGGAGCAGGTGAGGATGCGGCGCCCGTCGGGGGAGAAGGACGCCCAAGACACGGGGCCCGAGTGGCCGCCCAGCTCCATCAGCAGCTCTCCAGACTCCCCGTCATAGAGGCTGGCCATGTTGTCCCAGCTGGTCTGCAAAACCTGGCGGCCATCCGGCGAGACCGTTGACGGCCGTGCTCCGCATCGTCTTCCGACCGCGCGCGACAGGCACGCCCCCGTCTCGGTGTCGAAGAGCCGGGTGCTGCAATCGCGAGACGACGTGAGCACGTGGGCCCCGCCTGCCGCGAAGGACGCCTCGCACAGTGCGTCCGGGTGCCCCGCGAAGACGCGCTCGCAGGCGCCCGTGCGGGTGCAGAACAGCCTGGCCGTGCCGTCCCACGAAGCGGTCAGGGCCCGAGCCCCGTCCGCCGAGAACTCCACGGAGCACACCGCGTCGGCGTGCCCGGCGAGCACGAGCTCGCACGCGCCGCTCGCCAGGTCGAACAGCCGGGCGCTCCCGTCCCAGGACCCGCTCAGCAGCCGGTCCCCCGCCCGCGAGAACGCCAGGCCGCCGACCTGCTTCCCGTGGCCGCGGAGGCGGTGCAGGCAGCGCCCCGACGCGGCGTCGAAGAGCCGCACGACGCCGTCGGAGGACCCGGTCGCCACCCGCAGGCCGCTGCCCAGCAGCACCGTCAGGCCCTCCGCGGCGAGCTCGGGCGCGAGGCGCTCCGCGGCCTCCAGGGGCCGCCCGCCGGCCACGAGCGAGAGCCGCGCGGCACAGACCGCGGGGCCCAGCGCCCGCGCGGCCTTCTGCCTCGCGGCGCTCGCGGTCTCGCCCACGGCCAGGTCTGCCGGCAGTTCCTCCGGGGGGGCGGCGCCGGCGGAGGCGACGTGGGCAGGTCCGCTTGGAGGGCGAGGGCCCACACGTCCGAAGGGCCGCCTGTGTCGAGATGTTGGGGTCTCTCCTCCAATTCGCCATGTAGGGGGGCCGTTTGGTCGGGCCCCAGGGCCAGCAGCCGTGGATCCAGGGCGAATGGATACCCCTGGCAACGTGGCCGAGACCGCTGGGGCCACGGATTGAAGAAAACATCGTTAAACGTGGGAAGCAAGAGGAGCCGCCAGAAGAGGAAGAGGAGGAGGATGAGGAGGAGGCGGAGGAGGACCAGTGCAAACCCAAGACTCATCAACGATATTACAATGAACCCTTTCTCTCTCCAAACTCCATGTTCAAAGCCCTTCACAAGGATTCGTTTTCACTGAAGGAAGTGCCTCGTTGGAAGAACACCATGCGAAACTCCTGAATTGTGCCGCTACGCCGCGAATCACCGTTACGATTGCGTCTTGACGGTCCTGAATCGCTCCAGAACGCAACTCCCGAAGCTTCAACACCACAAATCAACGTAACTGTTGCCGCCCGGATGATCCGGCATCCTGCCAAAATGCCGTTTTGGGGGAGGTCAGCCATGAGGATCCTTGAAAGGTTGTAACGTTGTAACTTTCCAAAACGAGTGCGCGCGGCGTTCAAGCGAGAACCGCATTTCGAAAAGGAACCGCCATCCATCCGTGAAGCTGTTGCATGCGTGGGACAAATTACGTGGAGAAACCGAGTGTGCGCGGCGCTGAGGCGAGAACCACATTTTGAGAACGGCTGGGCCTCCATCCGTGAAGCTCCTGCAATGTGGTGCAACGAGTGTTGCGCGGCGCTCAGGCGAGAACCACATATTGTAAGCGACCCGCCCTCCATCCGCGAAACTGCTGCACATTTGAAGCCTCAGGACCATAAATGGAGAAGGTGAGGCAGTCTCAGGCGAAACGCCCTGCCGCATTTTCGACCGGCCTCGGGATGCGACAGGGAGGAATTATTCACAGGGAAAGTGAATGGAGAAGGAGAAGGAGGACGAGGAGGGGGAGGGGGAGAAGCAGGAGGAGGAGAAGGATGCTCCCCGCAGGACAGGCAGGAGAAGGTGCAGGATCCTCCTAGGGAGGCGTCGGGCATGTCCTGGAGGACGGGGGCGAGCCCAGGGATACGATGTCTTGCCAGCTGGTGCCTGACGAAGGCCAGGCTGCGTCCCCAGGGCCAGCTGCTCATCCGAAGTAACTGTGTGACGGTCATTGGCTCGGCGGGGACCCCCCAAAGGCCGAGAAAGGCGAAACGCCTCCGCACTGCTGCTCCCCTCAGCAGCTTGTCTGCAATGACTCCCGGCAGCTGTGAGCGTTTCCAGATCCGGCGACGGCGGCCCATGGTCTGCCCTGTGGTCTCCCGCATGGCCAAGCGCATGCCCTCCCGTTTTCTCTCCGGTATGATCTCTCGCATGGCCTCACGTATCTGGACTCCAAGATGTGCCTCACAACGCAATGCTCTCTTCACTTGTGGATCGTGCTGTTGGGGGCCTTCTGCCGCCACACTTCGTATAGTTCAGCATGTTAGGCGTCTGCAGGCAGCAGCAGCAGCAGCAGCAGCAGGAGCGGGAGGAGGAACGGGAGGTGGAGCAGGAGGAGAAGGAGGAGACAGCGAGGGCTGCGATCGAAGAGCCCTCGAGCCACCGGGCTCCAGGAGCCGAACCACACAATTGGACTGCCTGCTGGGTGCCAGCGGCGCAGGGGCCGATGGGTCATTCCATGCGGCCGCCACACCGGGGGGAGGGGGCCCCTCCCGGTGCAGCGCCCAGGAGGGGACCCGCGGCGGGAGGGGCGGGAGGAGGCGGAGCGCCACCGTGCCTGCAGGCCCCTCAAGAGCTGTGCCCTCTGCTGCTCCTCCAGGGTCCGGGTCCTGGCCCTCTCGATGCGAGCAAGCTTGCTAGAGAATCTACGGGCTGGACCCTGGGACAGAGACACATTCTTCAAGACTGATTGGCCTCCGCCGCGGATTGAGTTTGAGGATTTGGTTCGCCCTCGTCCCTGTTGGTCCAGAAGTGATTAGCGAGCTCTCAGAAGGCTCCTACAACTTGCTCCGACGGACGACGGATGGGACATGCCCTACGGATTTCGACGGTGTGCCTCCCCCTGGGAACCTTACCTTGCGACGGGATTGTCAATGGATTGCATGTTCCAGACCAGGAACGGGCGTCGCACAGCTAATCACGACGGTGAGCACTCCTCTGCTCTTTCTCCTTCTTCGCCTGGAGTTGCAGAGTTTGCAGCATTAGGTGATGAATCGTGAGGGGCACAGGGGGGAATGAGCTGCCAGGATCACCAGATCCTCGCGGTAGCGACAATCTTAGGCAGTACCCTCAGTGTGATGCCAGGGGCCCACAGGGTCTGGCTGCCCCCGTCAGGGGAGTAACGATTCTAGCCTGGGGAAGGCCTCCTTTCTTTTTCCATCCTCGGCTCTCCTTCCGTTTTCCACCCCTTAAGTGTCCATTCACTTCAGCTATAGCACCCAGCTCTCCAGCTGGCAGGCCCCCTGTGTTCCTGCCCCTGCTGTTGCCCCCTTGTTCTTCACTCACTGGGCTCGCTCTCTATCCATGCGCTTCGACCTCTCTTGCGCCACGACCGACCGACCGAGGAGGAGGACTTGGAGGAGGAGGAGGAGGAGGAGGAGGAGGAGGAGGAGGAGGAGGTGGAGGAGGAGGAGGAGGAGGAGGAGGAGGAGGAGGAGGAGGAGGAGGAGGAGGACCGGCGGCAGCAAGGCGGCCAGCCGGCCGCGCAGCAGAGGTCCTCCCCGGACAGCAGCCGCGCCGGCACGCGGCTGCCCAGCGCGCGGCCCTCCGCAGGCCCGCCGGGCGCCCCACGGAGGGCCCCGCCGCCGCCGCCGCCGCCAACGGCGCCGACGTCGCCGCCGACGTCGCCGAGGCCGCCGCCGACGCCGACGTCGCAGGCGTGGCCCAGGCGCGCGGGCGCGCTGCGGCGGCTGCGGCTGCGGCTGCGCGGGCCTCGCGCGCCGCCCGCTGGCATCCCGCGCGCCACGGCGGGGCCGCGTGCTGCGCGCGCGCGCGAACGGGGGGGGGCGGGGCCCGGGCGGCTTTGGGCCCCGGTGGCGCAGAGGGGCAGCAGGCGCAGGCGGGGAGGCAGGGGCATGTGTCGCCGCGCCGTTGGTTCTCGAAGCGCCCAAGTGGACGACGCCGACACCACGGCAAACCCGCGGCAAGCCCTGCGCCCCGCACTCACGGCGAGCCCACCGCGCCCGAAGCGGCTTTGGCCTCGTGGCCGAGGCGCCCTCTCGAAGACGTGCGGCCGCGCGTCGAAACAAACGGCGTGGCGACATGCGCAGAGGCAGAGGGATGGGGCGCGATCGGACAAAAGGTGGGCTACTCCTGGCGAAGGGGGGCAAGACAGCAGCAACGACTCCGTCTCCGTGCAGGAAGAGGAGAGAGAATATTGACGAGGCGAAGGGGAGGACGGAGGAGGAGCAGCAGGAGCAGGAGGAAGAGCAAGGCGGTGATGATGCTGCTGATGATGGTGACGATGGTGATGATGCTGACGATGACGATGACGATGACGATGACGATGACGATGACGATGACGATGACGACGACGACGACGACGACGACGATGATGATGATGATGATGATGATGATGATGATGATGATGATGATCATGCTGATGATGATGGTGATGATGATGCTGATGCTGATGACGATGATGATGATGGTGGTGGCCGTGATGATGATGGTGATGATGATGACGATGATGATGATGATGACGACACTGATTTTGATAATGGTAATGCGAATGAAGAAGATAATGTCACTGGTAAGGGTGAATGATGAGCGGTTGATATGGTCGAGTGATGGGTTACAAGGCGTTCGCAACGGTCCTACACTGACGCTGCTGTATCTTCGCATGGGCCCTCGGCCGCTACATACTCTGTACATGCGTAACTCCCACCAGAAGTGCAAATGAAGTGGACATGCGCGTCTCACCAAGATGGCAAGAGCAACAACACTGCGTCCCAAACCCAACACCCTATGGGCCTGCCATTCTGGCGAGAGCCCCGTTGTGAAACGGAACTGTCGTGCACCATTCGGGCGCATGAGCGGGAACGCGATGATCATATAATTCAGCGAGGTGTCCAACGAGATCCCCGTTTGGAACAGGACAATCGCAGACCCGTGTAATTGTTGCGCATGTCTCTGCTTCTGGCCGTGAACTTCGAGGCAGTCTCAGGGGAGCGCCCCATTCTTAGAGGATGCCGCCCCCTATCCGAACAACGGCTGAGTAAGTCGAAGTCTCCAGCACTTGGCTTTACGGTGGTCTGTAACGGGATTCCCAAGTTGAAGCAAAGCCTTTCTTCATTCTTGTAACTGCTGCAATGCTCCAAAAACGAGAATGCGCAACGCTGAGGCGAGAACCACATGATGAAGCAGAGCCGTTCCCTGGCCCTGTAGTTCGTGAAACCTTTTAAGACGAGCGTGCGCGGTGCTACGGCGAGAGGCCCTTGAAAACGAGCCCTCCCCATCCGTGTAACTGTTGCATGCTTGTGACGCGAATGCGCGCAGCGCTGATGTGAGATCCCCATTTCGGAAACGCCCCCCCCCCCTGTAGCTGTTGCAAATTTCAAGCCCCAGGACCATGAAGGAAAGATGACATATTCTCAGGCGAGACACCCAGCTCGCCCTACCGACATGTCTGGGAGACGTTATCTATATTAGGAACAAGGATGGAGCAGGAGGAGGAGGAGGAGGAGGAGGAGGAGGCGGAGGAGTGGGAGGAAGAGGAGGTATGGGGGAGGCAGGCGAGGGGAGTGGAGGAGGAGGAGGAGGAGGAGGAGGAAGAGGAGGAGGATGGGGTAGGCGAGGGGCGTAGCCTCGACGACCGACTGATCGGACCCATGTGGCAAAAGTGGATGGCAGCCGAGGGGGGCAGGAAGAGACACCACGCTCCTCCTCCTCCTCCTCCTCCTCCTCCTCCTCTTCCTCCTCCCTCTCCTCCTCCTGCTCCAACATGGCATGTACACTTTTCTCTGGAAGTAGAGGTTCACCACGTCATCAGCCTGCAGCCAGTCTTGCGAAGACCAGGGCACACTGCTGCACGCTTGTCAAGAGATCGTGAGTCTAGCATTCACGTGACAAACAAGCAACATGACGTCAACGGAATACGTATCGTATCGTCTCCATATGCTCCTCCCCAACCCCCCGGGCGTCCCGACGGGGACTTTCTCGCGGTTTCTGCCGACGGGGACTTTCTCCCGTGACTTCGGCCTCCAGGATCGGTGACGACGTCAGAGCCCTACCCCCCCCCCCCCAACCAAAGATTCTCCTGAAACGCTGGGAGGCGGGGGTAGGGCTCGCATTACGCCAAATGTTCGACGGATTCCGAACCCTACCTCCGCCGACCATCGAGTTGCCTCAATCGTTGATCGGCGAGGGCAGTGTTCGGCTTTGGCCGCCTTTGGGATCCGTTGTCGGGCGCCCTGGGCCCCAAAGGGGAACGACCGCAAAGAAAGTCGAGCCCACGGGGTCTCAGGCCTCCGGTTGGCGGCAAGCACGAGGGAGGTATAGGGGGAGGAGGAATGGGGTTCTTAGAAGAAGAAGGCTGCTTCGTAGAAGGCGCGGGCCCTGCATCAATAGACACGGCCCTCGCCTTCTAAGACGCAGCCTCCTTCCTCCCATACCCCAGCTGTGCACGCAGCCGAGATCCGCTAAGCAAGACTGCTCCCCGGGGTCCCAGGCCTCGGCGGGGTAGACACGTCCCCTCTCCCCCAAATTTCAAGTTGGCACGCGCGGGGAAGGCTGCGGTCGAAGTGCAACTCACTCAACCCACCGCCAACATTGATCAACGGGGGGACATTGACAGATTAGTGTGGTGAGTGTTCGCTGAAATATTTTGGGTCCTCGATGCCCATCGCGCTGTGAGTATTACCCCTCCTCTTCCCCCCCCCCCGCGGCCGCGCTCCGCCCGTGTCCCCTCCTCTTGCAGCTGGCCAATTAGTGCTTGCCATCGCCTGGCCCAGTAGAACGCGCGTGCGGACCGCCTCTGCCGCGCTGCGACGGTAATACTCTGGAGGAAGACCACCTAAATGTGCACATCGCGCCCCGCGGTGAACGGCCGTTACCTTTGCGTCTTCGCGGCGCCACCCTGGAGCACGGCGGCACTCCTGCCCTGAGGCCGCGACGCGCGACACTGCGCCCCCTGCGAGAGACCGAGAGATGACAAGCTCCCGAGTTTCACAAAGCGAAGGGCGAGCAAGAAAACGCAAGACGAAGCCAGGACGAGGAATGACATCGGGTGAGGATACATCGAGAATGTCTGAGAGCTGGCGGCTCTGGAGGATGCCTCGGGCCCCGCGGCCCTCTCAGAGCGTTCCGGAACGCTCCGAGAGCGTCCCAGAACCTTTTGGAACGGAGTGTTCTTTGATGAACCCAACGAGGACCCCCAACCTTTTGGGAGGGGACCCGAGTCAGGAAGGCCTGAAACACTAGGGATACATAGTGGGTCCTTTTCTGCAGATGTCTCAGGCCACGCCGCCCCGATGTCTCAGCCCCTCCTGCGAGGACGGGGGCCTCAGGGAGGCCACGCCTATGCCTCGTGTCCTTCGGCTTAGGGCTCCTCCTGCTCTCGAGTGCTCCTCGCCCCGGCCCCGCCCGAAAACACGCGGGCACCGGGCGGGCGTCCGCGCCCGGCCTCCCCTCCCCGCCCCCCGCCCGCTCCCCGCAGTCGGACTTGTTGGAGTTCTGCCGCATGGAGGCCAGGTAGAGGGCGCCGTTGCACCCGCAGCCCGCGCCGGAGAGGTCCACGGTCCATCTGCCCCGCCCTCCCAGCTGCCCCCTCCTGCTCCTGCTCCTGGTCCTGCTCCTCCTCCTCCTCCTCTTCCTCCTCCCTCCTCCTCCCTTCTCCTCCTGCCTGATCCTCCCCCCCATCCCCCTCTCCGTCCACAAGAACATGAGCCAAGAACGGTTTTTTGTTGGGTCCCAGATGGAGCCACGGCAGCCGAGGGTCCCTGAAACGGGACCCGGGGGCTGTCGCGTTGCCAGAGGCCCTGGGCCCCATGGCTATACCCACACCCGAAAGCATTCCGTCGTGGTGGGCCATGCCGCCCCTCCCAACTGTAACTGTGACCCCCCGCCGCTGGACCTCCCAGATAGCAACAAGAGAGGCTGTTACAGCGGCGACACAAGAGGTCCGCTCGGGCCTCCGCATAATTTATTTTTTTCTACTAGTGTAGAGGGCTCAAGCATGGCACACGCACACGGGGCATGCAAGGCACGCAACGCATACGACGTAGGTCCTTTCGGGCTGCAACATCTCACCCCTCATACGTTCCGGATCAAATTCCCTTAGAAAACTGCGTTGTCCTTGTGGAGGTGCGAATGCGTATGCTGGAAGGCGGTCGACGAGACTACTATCAAAAAGCTTAACGAGTCGGATACAAATTCACGGCTGGCAAGAAGAGACAGGGCCATGAGCACGAAGAGACAATGATCGACGTGCTGGCGAAGAACCAAATCCCATCCTGATAGTCTTCCCCAAGATGTTTACAGCGACGTACTCTGAAGGGTCGAAGCCATTTCGGCTGCACATGTCCCCGAAGTACGAGCGCCCCCCCATCTTCGCCACGACCTTCGTCCAGTCTGTGACCTGTAATGCTGGTGGCAATGCTGTAGGTATGCATGGCACCAACCTAAACAAAGATTACGTTCTCTCTGCTCTTCTCTCTTTCTCACTCTTTCCCCCCCAAAGAGATGTCAGCATGTCTCACTATACTCAAAACGTGTTGCAACTCCCTCCCCCTTCTCCAACAGGCGGACGCACATATCAAACCTCAGGTGCCCACTGACCTGCATGCCACACAACGACGGGCATCGAGCTCACTTGCGTGCGGAGCAAAACAAATATCCTTAGAGGCGAACGTTGTAACTTCGATCGGCGTGAACACTGTTCAAGAACCACATGTCCGCTAATAGTTACGTAGGATGGGAGGCGTTGCTCGAATTATTGCTCCAGATACCTTTCACGACAAGCATGGCATCAGCCTCATATTTGGAAGCGACAAGAACAAAGTGCACGCACACTTGCATATGACAGACATCTATGAGAGATCGCCAAGTAGATACAACAACCAGGCTCAATCAGCCTTCAACTGTAAACAACCATGGACGACGCCTCGGGTGCGACTATGAACTATGACACACCTGGGGCTTCCTCTGTCCGTCCAAATACCGCGCCTCAAAGTCCACCCCTATCGTGCAACCAGTCTTATCCAAACTACTGTTTGTCAGATATGCGGCACGAACCAGCGGACGAAGCACGGTCTGAATTAAGCTGTTCCACTATCGGGGATGCTTTCTTGTCCCAGGGCAGCTGGGGAATTTCAACCCCCAGGTGCCACTGTACAGGTACAACTTTTGCAGCCGGGTCCTGGGACATGCATCCCTCATGGCGGAAGATATCATGTTGTGCTGTTCTTCGTCTGCTACACGAGCAGTGCCCGAGAGATCCCGCTTACCACTTATGACGTACGGTGAGGCGAAGCCAGGACGAAGATAAATTTGGGTGAGGATGATACGATAATATCTGAGATCCAGCAGATCTGCAGGATGCCTTGGACGTCGCGGCCTTCTCAGAGCGTTCCGGAACGCTCTCGAACGGATTTATCCTCGTCCCAGCCCCGTCCGAGAGGAGGATGAACAAGGGGGAGGACGAGGATGAGGAGGACGACGAGGACGAGGGCGAGAAGCCCAAGGGGTAAGGCAAAAGGCAAAAGGAGGTCGCTCCAGAGCAGTCCGCCGAAGCCCTCGAAGGCCAAAGGCTGTCCCGAAGATGTTCCGGACGAGTGCGCAGGCTCCCTCAAGCAACCCCGTCGAATCCATCCGACCCCTGTTGCCGCTACCCGGCGGTACCCCTAACAAGCGATCACGACCGCAGCCATGTGGCCGACTCTGGACTCGGCTTCGGTCCCCGGACCCCTCCCGGGGCCCTCGGGGCCAGTTCTTCACCCTGGGCTTGTTGTGGACGGCCCTGGGGACCGAACGCGGCATCCGGATGCCGAAGACGGCGGCGCGGGCCGCTCCTTGAGCTTGTGCTCCTCACGGGGTTCGTCGCTCACCGGCTGAGGGCGGACGGCCATGTGGAAACCCCAAAAAGGAAGTAAGTACCCCTACCGCTACTCCCCAGACCTCTCCCAGGAGGCGTTCTGACCGGGAGCTCGAGGCGAATCCAGCGGTGGCGACGACGGCCTCCCAGGGGGCCCCCAAAGGGGAAAACGAGGGAAGTGTTGTTGTTGGCACCCGCACAATACACAACCGTGGAGCAATCCTGAGAGTACTGTCAGCGCTTTTGAACTGCACCGTGCCGCAAGCGGCAGTACTCCCGGACGACGTTGCGTCAGGAACAAACGGGGAAACGATGGAAAAGAGTAGCGGAAGGGTAGTGGTTCGGGAGCGGCCAAGAGGGGGGTGTCCAAGAGGGGGGGGTGCAAATCATGACCGGCGGCATGTGCGCGGCCCAGCGGGGGGGCCAGGGACGTAATGAAATAAGAAGAGGCGCCACAAGATCTGGGAAAGTATCACGGCCCCCGCCATGATGTCCACCCGCCCCCCTAGACAGCACCCCCCTCTTTTCCGCCCCCCAATGGTATGGGTACCTTTTCCTACCCGGAGGCCGTGCGCAGGAGCACCGTGAGGGAGAGGGGGAGAGGTCCTCTCCCGAAGGGCGGCAGGGCGGCGAGGGGCGGAGGAGCCTCCGCGGCGAGGGGCGGAGGAGCCTCCGCGGCGAAGGGCGGCAGGGCGGCGAGGGGCGGAGGAGCCTCCGCGGCGAGGAGCCTCCGCCCCTCGCCACGCCCCGCGGCGAGCGGCGGAGGCTCCTCTCCCGAAGGGCGGGCAGGGCGGCGGGGCGCGCCTCGACGGAGCCGGTGCAGGCTTCCCTGGGCCGCCCGGCCCGTGAGGCAGCAGGGAGGAGGAGGAGGAGGAGGAGGAGGAGGAGGAGGAGGAGGAGGAGGAGGAGAAGGAGGAGAAGGATGAGGAGGAGGAGGAGGAGGAGGAGGAGGAGGAGGAGGAGGAGGAGGAGAGGAGGAGGAGGGAGGAGGAGGAGGAGGAGGAGGAGGAGACGAGGATGAGGAGGAGGACGAGGAGGAGGACGAGGATGAGGAGGACGAGGATGAGGAGGAAGAGGAGGAGGAGGAGGAGGAGGAGGAGGAGGTGGAGGAGGAGGAGGAGGAGGAGGAGGAGGATAATGAGGAGGAGGAGGAGGAGGAGGGGGAGGAGGAGAGGAGGAGGATGAGGATGAGGAGGAGGAGGAGGAGGAGGAGGAGGAGGATGACGAGGAGGAGGAGGAGGAGGATGAGGAGGAGGATAATGAGGAGGAGGACGAGGATGAGGAGGAAGAGGAGGAGGAGGAGGAGGTGGAGGAGGAGGAGGAGGATGAGGTGGAGGGGGGGAGGCGAAGCGCATGGGAGGCGAGTCCCAAGCAGCCAGCGGCGGCGGCAGGCGAGAAAGGATGCAAGTGCCTCGGCGAGGCATATATGTCGCCGCGGCGCTGGCCCTCGACGCGCCCAAGTGGACAACGCCGACACCACGGCAACCCCACGGCAGGCCTTGCGCCCCGCGCCAGAGTAGACGACGCCGGCACCACGGCCGACCCCACGGCAAACCCTGGGCCCGAGGCGGCGTTTGCCCTGGTGGCCGCGGCGCCCTCCCCAAGACGTGCGGCCGCGCGTCGGAACAAACGGCGCGGCGACAGAATGACGCAAGGCCCAGCATCGAGGAGGAGGAGGAGGAGGAGGAGGAGGAGGAAGATGAGGAGGAGAAGGAGAAGGACCATTGCACGGCTTTGAGAAGAGTTCGACTTCGCTTGCGGCGACTCCGACGCTTAACTGAGGGGTCCTCCTTGGGCCACCCTATCCGAAGGGCACCACACACACCACGGGGCTCATCTTTGAGGCCTCGGGGGGATGGAGAAGGAGGAGGAGGAGGATGAGGAAGAAATCTACAACCCGCGGACTGTTTTTCTCAATCCCGGCATTTCCCCTGGACTTCGGCCCACAGGGGCCGTGCTCGGGCTCCAGGACCATCGAGGCTTGAACTGCGACTAGAAACTCCCCCCAGGGCAGGGATTGAGGCTTCGTGGGGCCGCGGTCTGAATTTACCACGCCGTCGGATGATGTCCTGGAAAGATTGGGGGAACCCGCTAACGCGCATGAAAATCTTTAATTCCGAACTTCGACCGTCCGGAAGCGGGGCCCCCCGCCTCGCGCGTAGCCGAGCGCACCACGTCTCCACAGCAACCGCGCCCCTGCGCGCGGAGACCATCTCTCCGCCTGGGACCGGACCAGCGGGATGTGGGCAACTGCCCCACGACGGCGAGGGCGCCGCAACCGCATGTCGCTTGCAAAAGAAAGCGGAAGCACCCAGGCACCGAACATCGCTCCTTGCCAGGGGCCCGTGGTCCACTCTCTGCCACCGCAGCCTCCGCCGAGAGGGGGGGGGGCCACGCTCCCAAGGCCCTCTCGCGAGGCCGCTGTGGGCCGCCCTAGTCGGGGCGCACGCCGAGAGGGCACGTCCCCAAAGCTAGCAGCCCAGACCCTCTCGCGTCGTGAGCTTCTCCCGGCGACGGGCCCAGCAATTTGCAGGCGTGAGTCCCACAACGCAGGTAGGACGAAAGAGAAGGGAGCCTCCTGCGTGTGAGGGGTATGCCGAAACGGAGGGCGAAATTCATGGGACGGTGCCGCTGGGGCCTTCGGCGGAGCTCCCTATGGAGCCACGAAGCGTGTGAGGGGTGTGCCACGTGCCCATGCGGAGGGCAGAGCAGGGATGGGGAGGAGGGAGGAGTGAGCGGAAGGAGGAAGAGAAGGTGGCGGACGAGGAGGGGGGAGGAGGAGGAGGAGGAGGAGGAGGAGGAGGAGGAGGAGGAGGAGGAGGAGGAAGAGAAGGAGGAGGAGGAGGAGAAGCAGAACGAGAAGGAGGAGGAGACGGCGGAGGAGGCGTGGATGCGGGGCGCTGTCTCTTCAAAACGAGGACCGAGCATTCATACATGATGGTTGGGGACACGCGCATGTCTTCACTCCTGGCGATGACGGCCGCATCCGCCGCGCCGCCGCCCCCCCTGGGGAAACATAGCGGTTCGCAGCAGCGCCGTTGCCGAAAGTCAAGGAAATTCCAGACCTTGCGGGGCAAACACAAATGTTACCACCACCCGATAACGCCCGTGATCCCAGGCGAAACAAGCGGCGGAAAGTTTCCGCAAATTTTCGGCCACGGGGGTCCTTACTTACCACCCTCACGCGACTTTGGACGAAAAGCCATCCGATGGAGGAGGGTTTCAGACTTCCTCGGAGGGGGGGGGGGGCATTGAAACACGTCGTCAATCGGATCTCTAGGAACGTTGACGCGAAGGCAAGAAATAGGGGGGGCGCAGGTGCCCCGAAGCGCCCTACAACTGCCATCGCGCGACCAAGAGGTGCTGGAAAGGCACGTCCTGCCCCATCATTTGGGCTAGTTCGGCGGCGAGCCCAGATGGGGAAATGAGAAGGGGCAGGCCATCTCAGAAGGCGCGGAAGTCGCCCAGCTTCTGAAAAAATCGTCGAAGCCTTCCCCGAAGACGCAGGAAACCTCCCAGAAGGCCAGGGCGTTTCTGAGAAGTACCGCCGCCTTTTGAGAAGGTCTTCTCCATCTCACTTCCCCCCATCGCTCGCCGCCGATCGATGGGGCGCCCTCCCCGAGGAAAGGGTCGAAGGGCCCGGGGACTGCGGGATGAACAAAAACGTTGCGCTGGAACCCTGGGACCCGCTCCAAGGTGCGAGACGGCTCCCAGTCGACAAAACAAAGCTGCCCATCACGAAAGAACGCCGCCGCTACCCTGGGCGGAGTGGCACCCGCGAACAACTGCACCCGGGAACCGTTGGGGCAGGTCAACGATTTCTTTTCGTGCAATTCCAGGGCAAGGACATCGTCCCACCACCAGAGAAAGTCGCAGAGTGCCGCGGACATGTTGGCCCAACTCTTTTGGGCCTGACGATGCGAGGGTACAATAGCGGCCCTGCCCCCTGCCCAGACGATGGAACATATATGTCGAAGCCCATCGCAGGGTTCCACCCAGCTTGGATGCGTCGCCAGGGCGCGGCAACTTTCAATTCAAAGCGCTGCGCCTTGTTCGCGGAATCACATGAGAAACCTTGCCGACCCGCGCTCGCATCATGCCCGAGCGCGTGCGGCTGCAATCCCCATCTTGGCAGGCGCGATGGCCTCGCGCCCAAGTATGCAAGGCGCCAGGCGTGCTACGCAGCGCAGGGCGCGCACCGCCGATCCTCTCCGCGTCGCAGCGAAAAAGGTCATCGACAGACCGCGGCAGGGGCACTTGCAAGCCCCCGCAAACCCCTCGCGAGACTAACGCCCCCCACTCGCTCCCATAAGCGAACGGAAGCAATTGCCCCGAACGGCATGGCGCAACGCCGCGCGCGCGCGCGCCGCCCCCCGGTCAGCGCGCCGCCCGCATGCGACGCCAGGGCGCGCGCCTGAAGGCGGGATCCACGTCTGCCTCGAAAAACGCGATGGGGCCCTCGGTCTCCGGCGCCGAGCGCCTGGAGGCTTCGAAAAGGCAAATCGACGCCTTCAGGGCGGAACATCTCGGCCACGCAGGCGCAACCGTTGATCTTTGACCGCGACACATCAACGCTCGGCCGGGCTCTGACGCAGCCGCCCGGCCTCACCTACTCGGCCCCGAATCGCGGCAGAAGAATCACGGAGCTTAAATCGATGTCACGATCTGGACAAATCGCGAGCGCGCTCTGCCGCGACGTCCTGCGCGGATGCGCCAAGCAATTCGCCCAGGCGCGTCTCCTATTGGATGCGGAAAATTTCGCGCGATTAACTTGAAGGAGCTGATTGCTAAAGAAAACAAGACTCCTACTAAAGCGGTTATGCTCCGTTGCGCGACAGCCGCGGCGGCGCGTCCGAACTGCCGAGCCACGTCCTGCGCTCGCGCCCTGAATCTTCTGTCAAAGAGCATGTGCAACTCGCTGAAATCATGTCCACGGGTCACCGCGACCCGGTATAACGCCACCCTAAGTACTCGATCAAATTCACCGCGGGGTGAACTGGCAGGAAAGACATGTGACCCCCGCCCTCCGAGCGGGCCCTGGCGCCGCGTCGCCGCCGCATCTCCACAGCTTTATCAAAGGCAGACCGCGGATTCTACTTAAGCGTAGAAACGACTTTACTAAAGCGAGGAGCGAGGAAACGGCTTTGCTAAAGCGAAAAGGCGGCTTTCGTGAAAGGCGCGCCGCTCGATGCATTCCGACAAAATGACGTTTCACCAAAGCGAAAAGAAAGCCTTAGTGAAGCGGGGGCACGGCCGGGGGAAAACTGCGCGCAGAAATTTCGCTCCCCCATGCAATCTGGCCCGGGGCTCCAAAGGCGCGGGCGGGGCGCAAGCGCGCCCATGGGCCCGGGCCCCGTCGCCGAGGTCGCCGCGATGTTCGTCGTCGCCGCCGTCGCCGTTGCCGCCGTCGTCGTCGCCGTCGGCGCAGGCGCCGCCATCGTCGCCGCCGTCGCCGTCGTCGTCGCCGCGACGCCCGCGCATCCACGTTATTACCAGCGGCGGGTCGCGCGAGACCGCGCGCGCCACTGCGCTCGCATCTCCGCTCGCCCGACAGGGGCCCAGGCGGACATCGTGATTTTTGTTGGCGCCCACAACTCGCCTGAAGCAATGGCGGAGCATTAATGCCTCTGATCTTAGCGCCCAGACGCTAACGTTGCCGCATTGGTCGCCTCTGCCGGTTTCGAAAGATCGACGAGCGGCGCAGCCTTGTCGCGTGCCTCAGGCGCGCCTTAGCCAGGCGGGGGCAGTGGCCCCGCCGAGGGCACGCCCCAGCTGGGAAACTCGACGCGCGCCAGATCTTCGAACCCTGGGCCGCGCCCCCCTGGGCCAGCCGATTGCGCCCAACGCGCGCCCGCGCCGCTGGATGCCAAATCTTCTGCGCAAGCGACGCTCCTTCTGATGAAATGCAACGGGGTCGCCGACCGCCCGCGCGGCGAAATCCAGCACGTCGCGATTTGCTGCGGATTGAATCGGCGCCAGCGCGCGACGCGCGCGCGCAACGTCGCGCCTCGCTGCGCGGGCGCCGCGGCCTAGCTAATATGATTTACAAAATTGCGCGCGCGACTGCGCTCGGCCCCGGCCGCGCCCGCGGGGGGCGGCGGCGGCGGCCGCGGGCCCCCCCCCCTCGCCCTGGCCCCCGGCGGCCGCGGAGGTCCCCTCGGCGGCCGCGTCGCGCGATAATTGTAACATTCGAGCCACGCCATGCGAAATGCGCGCGCCCCCTAGCGCCGCCGCCTCGCCGCGCTGGTTAGGGGCGCGCCGGACGAATGCAACATAAACGCGGAAACACGCAGCGGGGCGCGCGTGGGCGCCGCTCCACCCGCGGGCGGCGCAGCCTCAGGGTCACTTAGCGCAGGCCTTCTTGGCGGCGGGCCTGGGCGGCGCGCGCGGCCTGCGGTCGCCCGGAGACCTGCCGGGCCCGGGCGGCGCGCGCGCCCTGCTGCCGCCAAAAGACCGCGACGCCCGCGACGCGCGGCCACTCGAAGACCGCGAGCCGCGGTCAGTCGAAGACCACCTGTGCCAAGTCAACGCGCGACAGCGAGCCGCGGCGGTCGTTCTGCGCGCATTGCCGCTGCCGCCAGAGCCCGTTTGCCCCGACGTTGCTGCCGCTGCCTGGGGCCGCGGCGGGCTTCTCGTCGCGGTCGCGCGCGTCTTCGGCCCGCGCGGCGCAGGGGCTTCGCGAACTGCCCCCGCGCCGCGCGCTCGGCCGCGCCCTGCCTGGCGCGGGGCCCGCGAACCCACTTGCGCGGCCGCCTTCTCCGCGCGGGAATCGCGCTCGCCCGCCCCCGCCCGCGCGGGCGGCGCAATTTCGCGGAACGGGGGCGGCGGCGCATCCCAAGCGCGCGGCGCGCTGGGCCTGGTCGCAATGCGCTGCCAGGCGGGCGCGGCGCTTGCGCGAGCGGGCATTGCGGCCGCGCGCGAGCAAGATCCTGCGACGCGCCCGCGACGCCCCCGGGCCGAGCTGGCCGGTCGCGGCCGCCGCCAACGCGCGCCCGTGCGAAACGCGAAACGCAACCGTGAAGGCGATCGAAGCCACCCCCCACGCGAGCCCGCGGCCCGGCGACCGTCGCCAGCTGCGCGCGCCCCAAGATATGCCCCCGGCAACTTGCGAAAGATGCCGCCGAGGGCCTGGGAAAGACATCATTCTATAGCCACAGACGGGGTTAATAATCGCCAACGACATTTCGTCAATGTTTTAAACGAGCGCGCGGAATTGCCTGGGTCACTGCTCGAATCGCGCCATCGCACGCGTGCAACGGCGCAGTTATATGAACGTCGAAACGCGCTTATGAAACGCGCAAGAATTGTCTAATGCAAGCGAACACAGCTTTAAAACGATTTGTGAAACCAAGAAAGCCGCGATTCGCAATCGTCGCCGTGGGGAAGCGCCGACCCAGGCCGCAAGGTTTCCGGACAAATGCATCAGCCTGGCGGGTGCCGGGGTGGGTTGTTCTCTCTCGAAACAGCAAGTGTGTGGCAGCGCGGTTTCACGCGACCGCTGCGCCAATTCTTTTCTGCTTGCCACTGCGACAGATCCAGCGGCGTCTTGCGCTCGCCCCCACGACCGCCGGCCTTCGTGGCATTGGCCAAATGGAGAAGACCCTGCCGAAATAGCAGTGAGCTGCGCGGGTTCGCCCAGAAAAACAGCGAGCCATGGAGACATCGTTCTCTGCGCCCTCTTCTTGAGTGACCTCCTTGAGGGCTCGGAGCACGGAAGCTATTTCTGTAAGGAACCCAAGCGGCGATGAGACGCCGACCTCCTTGAGCTGCGCCGCCTCTGCAACGGGCTCGCGCGCGCGATGTGAACGGCGCGCGGTGCGACGCCGGAGCTGCGTCGCGCGAGCGGGCGCGCTCGGGTGCCCGAGCCAAAATTTCGCGGGCAACCCTTTCATGCCGATGTCAGGCACCGCGCTGGCAAACTCGAGATGCACCGCCTGCGCGGCGCCGGAATCGTTGCGCGCGCTCTCGCGCTGCGCGGGCGGGCGCGGCACCTCGGCGGGCCTCTCTCCAAAAAACAATTTGTTAAGCGCCGCCTCTGGGCCCGCGATCCTCGACTTCGAGGCGCCTTCCTCGGTCGTGGTGGCGAGGGCTCTGCGCGCGTGGGCCTCTTGGCCAGCGCCAAGGCCATTCTCTGCCACGGGGAAAGCGAAGTCCTCGACGCGAGCATCGACGAGTGCGTGCCCGCTCCGCGCGACGGTTGTGCACGGTGCAGCGGCCATCTTGGCGCACCAGGTGGGATCGCGACCGTCGGCGCCCTCGACTTGGCCGAGCGGTTCAGACAGCCCCCCCTGCGCGGCCTGGCCCGCCATTCCCAGGCAACCAGAAACCGCGAGCGCGTGAACAATCTTCGCGCGGAGCGATGCGACAAGCTCCGCACGTCTCTCGCGCAACTTATCGAAGAGCGCAGCGCGCGACAGAACAAAGCATACAGAGCATTGCGAACGCGCGCAGGTCAGCAGCGCATAAAAGGGCTGCACGAACACCCTGATGCCAAGCAGGGGCCGCCGGGCGAAGACCTCACCCAGGCTCGCAGGCAATGGCGGGCCACGCGTGGGCTGCTTTGACACAGTGTGGTCAGTCATGGACCGCCGACCATGGACCATACCTGGGCCTGCTGTGCTGGCAATGGCAAGCCACAGGTGGGCTGCCCTGGTAATGATTGGCCACTCCTGGGCCGCCGAGCAAAGACCACGATTGGGTCCGCTGGCAATGGTATGCCACACGTGGGCTGCCCTGATAATGATTGGCCACGCATGGGCCGCCGAGCAAAAACCACACTTGGGTTTGCTAGCAGTGGCAAGCCACGCACGGGCTGTTCTGCTGATGAGTGGCCACTCGTGGGTCAAGTGTGTACTACTGGCAACACGTGGACCGCAGAGCATCGCACAAAGCGCGGCACGCGGCCTCGCATGGGCAGCGTGCGCGCCACGGGTCGCACGGGGCCCCTAAACCAGAGAAGCAAACGCCAATAGCGCAGACCCTTTGCGCGCGGTCGGCCGCGCGAGGCAAACCCAGAGCCACGCGCACACGGCGTGGTGGTCCAACAGCTGCGGAACACGTGCCCGCCAGCCCCATTGGAGGAGGAGGAGGGGGAGGAGGAGGAGGAGGAGGAGGAGGAGGAGGAGGAGGAGGAGGAGGAGGAGGAGGAGGAGGAGGATTC